TAAGAGCATGCACCTATCTAGCCTATTATAACATATACAAATAAGTTTGACCGATAACACTAGCTTAAAAAACGAATTACTCTCTAAAGGGGGAGGGGCCTATAATCGAGTTTTGCGTATAAGCCCCTTCAGTCGATTAAATGACCCAGGGTCCTCACCTAGCTGGGGTCTTCTATCCGGGGGATTACGGTATGCTAGTGGGAAGCATGCCTCAGGATATCATGGTAAAATACCCTTACGACCCTTAGTATAAGGTTGGGGTTGGTGGTGGACCCTTATTTTTAAAAATGGTTTAGTTTTGGACCCTTATGAAAAAAACTATGTTTGTACCGGACCTTGATTTTCAAAAGTGGTGCAGCTTTAGCACTCTGATGCGAAAAAGTGCCTTTACAAAATACCCTGATGTGATTCTACATGCAGCCCCCCCGTTTGGGGGCAAGAATTTTCCCCCGAGTCACGCTGCAATCAGCGCCATTACTGCTCTGTGCTGGAGCGCGTCGATGAGACTGCTCCTGCGAGTCAAAGTGTGCGGCATTCTAGGAAAAGACAAACCAATCAGCGCCAGGGGTCGCAGCGCGCATGGACAGCGCGGCAGCAAATGGCCCTGAGGTGACCTGTTTTGCAGGCAAACGATCTGATTGGTGGAAAGGAGGGGGCACAGCTGTCGATCCCCTTCTCCTCTGTTCAGGGCACCGCTTCTTCTTCAACTGTTTCTTTCAAGCTGTTCTTGAGAGCATCAAGATACAATGTGCTCTGTGTTTGTATCTCTCACCCGCTTCCTTCCCATATTCCTCTCGCCTCAACGACAGCCATTGACCCCGACGACGGCGATGAGGAGGAGGATGGTGGGCGGAAACGTCCGCTATCCCCTCCGCGATCAGCCCTTAGTTTCCTCCGTCGCGCACCAATCACAGTCGCTCAGCCGTGCCCACCTCCAACCTCCCCTTGCGTTGGGTCACCTCCTCTGACCGAACCCATAGCGGATGTCCCTGAGCGTACACCCCCATCTCCTGCTGCTCTACCGGTTTCCGCCTTTGGGGGTTCTCCTGCCCCATCCCCAACTGCTGTGGGCTTGACGTCGTCTTCAGCGAAGCTAAAAGCGAGCAGCCTGCAGCAGAAGTGGCGGCAGCAGCGTCTCCCCTTCGCTTGGTCAACGGACAAAGCGCCTATTGAGGAACCCGACGACGACGCCGGCGACGATGATGTCGAGGATCACGAACCCACGGACCAAGAGAGTTCTAAAGATCCACAGGCTGCTTTTGCAAAAGCGCACCGACGTTTTAAGTCTTCTTGGGAGAGTTTGTTCCCTTGGCTTGTCCTCGACCGTGCTAACGATGGTTTCCCTGTATTGCACTGCAGCACTTGCCTCAAGCACGGAGTTTCAGGCGCGGACACCAAGTACGGCAAGGACGGTTGCGGCGGGCGTGACATGCAGAAGAACAGCATCCAGACTCACCAGCGCTCCAACGCCCACCGCGACGCCTACCGTCTGATGAAGACAAAGCAGTTGAGGATGTTGCGGCAAACTCTCCTAAACGAGTACGAGGGCCTCGACAAGAGCACGCTACATCTCATCACCGCCATGAAGACGGCGGTGTACACGTGCCAATCAGAGGCGCCGATAACATCCTACGTCGTCTTCATCAAGTTCATGGCTTCAGTGCAGACGCCCAACCTCCCTCTGGATCAGAAGGGCGCCTACTTTTCAGAGTGAGTAACTTCGAATTCGGATTTACCGGGGCATGTCTTTTCGATCTTAGTGCGCTTTTTCCCAAGTACCGAGCGAGCATATTAGTGGTCCATGAGATGCAACATCTTTGATTACTCTCTTTTTTCATCGTGTTTATGCTTGGGAGATACGGATTCAACGAGTTGGTCGAGGCCGCATCAAAGTACCTACGAGAAGAGCAGCTGAAGAACATCGCCAACAGCCCTTATCTCGGCATCGCTATTGACGAGAGCACGGACCGTGTCAGGGGGAAGCATCTGATAGTATATGTGACTTACATCAAGGATGGCTATGTGCGTACCGTGTTCCTGACGCTCCTCACCGAGCAAAGATGTGATGCAGCAAGCCTCACTGAAGTTCTGGAGACTTACATGCGATCGGTTGGCATCGACATGGAGAAGATCATCGGGATAAGTACGAACGGCGCGTCTGTCATGGTAGGCGAGCACAAGGGCGTCGTCGCACGGTTGCGTGTTAAGATTCGGCACCTAGTGTCATGCCATTGCATCACCCATCGGTGAGTTGACTCCGGTGTTTGATGTTTGACTGGTTGTCTTTCGGTTGTTGGTTCCCAAGTCGCATGCGATGTCACGCTCTACTGTCTCACACCTGGTGTGCGTCTGTGTGTTCCCTCCCCCCCTCCCTGCCAGTGAGTCTCTGGTCGCCAAGTGGCGGCGAAGGTTAGAGACTTCTCCGTCATCGACCAGGTCATTAGAACCGTCTCTGAACTGCTGTCAAGGAGCGGGATCTAGCACAGGCGCTTCAAGAAGCTGCAGGAAGAGATGTGTGACACGAATCTGGAGCTCCATGGCTTTCACGGGGGAGCGCGGTGAAGCGGTTCGCGCAGCTGCTGCCGGCTGTAGTCATGCTTCTGCACGAGTATCAGCAAGAGCTCTACGAACTTGTGAAGAGTTTCAAGTTTCACTTCCTTGTGTACTTCCTGGCAGATTTGCTCGAGGTCCTCAACGACCTCAACGCGAAGTTTCATAAGAAGCAGGTGAGGTTTCTGACGACAGTGACCTTGTGCTTGTTTAACCGCAGGCCCTGAATTTTGTCGTTCTTTCTCTGCTGTACGCCCGACCTCAGACATTACACTGGTCGCTCGCGAGGTTAACCTGGTGTGCAGAAAGATTGACGTCCGCTACATCGACTACAAAAACGCTTTCGGCAGGGACTCACCGCTTCTGAAGAATTTCTTGAAGGAGCATGCCAACCCCCAGTTTCGATGTGTGACAGTCGAAGGTGTCGACAAGGAAGACGCTCCGACTGTGCAAACCTTCACGCTCAACGAGGAGCCGTGGGAAGGTCAGAAAGGTAAGGGGGACTACCCGACCTGCGTGAAGCTGTGCAGGGAGTATGCGGCGGAGGCTTAGGCACGACTGGAGCACAGGCTGGACGACCTGCAGGATCTTAACGGCGCGAAGTTGTTTTGGCCGCTCGTATACCCCGAGGATTGGGCATCATTGATGAAGAAGGCCAGGGAGTGGTTGGCTCTGCTAGATAAGCTTTTCCATTTTAAGCTTCTCGGTAAGTGTATTACGCTTCAAATCTTATTGCCCCCGCATGGTACATCTCCTTCGCTGTCACATTTTTGCTGCCTTGCATGCCCTAAACTCCTCCCGCATTGCGTCTTCCCTCCCCTCCTCCTCCCCCCCTTCCGCCCATATATCCCACCCATTTCCCCCATCTGAGTTCCCAGGGGTCAACTTCAAGACCTGCGTGTCAGAGCTGCATCTCTTCCTCCACACGATGAACACCAAGCACGCGAATCCCGGCTTTCACAAGTCCCTGAAGCTCATGCTGGATAGCACGGATTACGAGGGAGCATACCCCAATATCGTGCGGCTGTGGCAAGCGGTCGCCGTGCTGCCCCTCAGCATGGTTGAGTGCGAGAGGGGCTTCAGCCGCCAGAATCGCATCAAGTCGTGGACGCGCAGCTGCTTGGGCGATGGGAAGCTCAAGGACCTTATGACAGTGGCCCTTGTGCACTGCGACATGGAGTGGCTGAAGATGGTTGAGATTTTCCGAACAATCAAGGACCGCCGCCCTGCTACCCAGTTTGACATGGCCGACTAAAAGCATCGGGAGCAGAGGGTCTCCTCTCCAGCAGCAGCAACAGCAATTGCAGCAGTAGCAATATCACCAGCAGTAGCAGTGGCATCACCAGCACCAGCATCACCAACAGTAACAGCAGCAACAGCAGCAACAGTAGTATCTGGTATGGTGCAGGCTTAGCGCGCTATGCTTTGCAATGTGAACATCTATAATGCTAAGAAATTTTATCCAGCTAGGAATGAGTATGGCGTTTGTACACCCTGTCGTTTTTAGCACCCTTATAAACCAAAGTCGGAAAGAAAGAAAGAAAGAAAGAAAGAAAAGAAAAGAAAAGAAAAGAAAAGAAAGAAAGAAAGAAAGTAAGAAAGAAAAAACCTTACAGAAAAAGTGGTCGACGGTTCATACCCTTACATAAAAGACTACTCCAAATCCTATCCAGAGGCCTGGTGGGAAGAAAGAAGTAAAGTCGAACAAATAAGGTTGGGATGGGACTCCTAGACTGAAAACCTTGGAGCGAGGATGAAAACCAGGGTCTCAGATTCGTTTTAGGGAGGCTGATTGCTCAGGCCTGCCCTTCTGAGAACCCATTTTTGTCAGGGTAGTTTTCATTTTTTCGGCCTGAAATTTCAGGCTGAAATTTTCGAAAGGCTGACGAATCAGGGTTGGGTTTTGAAACGTGCTGTAGCAATTCGTCGCGCGATTGAGGGGAAATCAGTGTTTTCAAGGAACTGCCGTAACCCCACCTACTAGCAGCTTCCGCGCAATTTTTCAAGGACAAATCACGTCCCTCACACCTGCTCCAGCTAACCTCCGACAACTAGAATGATATTTTGACCGGTCACGCCCCTCACAACTGCTCCCGATTACCTCCGAATTTTGCGTTATTTGGGCCTAAGGACCAATCACAGCCTCACACCTGCTCCAAGTTCGCTCAGACCACTGGCGAAACTGCTCGGGGGGTCGTGGCCAGATTAGATAGGGTTCTTCTGTTTCAGGATAAAATTCGGTAGAGGCTGATTGGTCAGGCCTGGCTAAACAAGAACACACGCTTTTTCAGGCTTACAAAACTGGGAACACAAGAATTTCAGGTTTGGCCAAAATCGAATGCTGGAAAATCAGGCTATGCCATAAAAATCACCCTGATATACAGCTTTTCAGGCCTTTTTAGCCTGAAATCTGAGGCCCTGATGAAAACGAACCAAGTTGAAAAAGCGGCTCGAAATGAGGATTGAGGTGTGGAGTGGGGGTGAAGGCTTAGGAATGAAGCTATCTACATACCAACACGTTGAGGATGGGGTGAGACCGTGGGACTCAAAGGAAGATGTGTAAGAAGACCAGACCAGACCCACGGGGAACGGTGGTAATCCACTCTTCGCTAGGTAAAAGAACACCAATCACAGAATACAAGGCAACAGCAGAACAGCAAATCTATACAGCTCTCAATGATAAAAACTGCACTACTTCTCACTTATAGGGGCATTCGAATCAGTTGGTCAGATCTAGCCCACTGAAGGGGACGCCCAGCCACCGTGCATGCCAGGCCTACTAAGAAAAAGGAGAGGAAAGTTGCGCAGCAGGGAAACCAGCAGGGGTACGTAGAGGAACGAGTTGACACACATTATGTAAGAAAAGTGCAAAAACAAAGGGGAAATGAAAAATAAACATAGAGAAAATAGGCAGCTAGTAGCTTTTTTCAACTTACAATGTTGATGATCGAGACAGAGGGATGTCTGAATTAATATTGCGCAGCTCAAACATCCCACCTCCACTCCCACTCATCTCCTCCTCGCCTTCTCCCTCTAGCTGCCCATTCGGATTGAGCGACATAGACGCCATCACACCCCTCCTCCCAAAGCTCGACGACCGGCTAGCTCCCGGCCCTCCGCTGCTATTATTGCTGCGACTCCTCCAACCAGCAGTCCCTCCCCCAGTCAAAGACCGCGCCAGAATCACCTGAGACCGCCTCCCCCCGGCTCCCCCTCCCCCCCCACCAACCCCACCACCGACACTTGAACTCGCAAGCCCCACGCCGGACCCGGATCTCGACGACCGCGCAGTAGACGACGACGAGCGGCTCATCTCCAGCCGCATGGTCTCCATGCCGGTTTCCAGAGCAGTCATCCTCGCCTCCATGCGGTCCAGCACGTGCCGCACGCGGTCCATGCCCTCGCTCGCGCCGCGCTGCTTCGCGCGGAATTGCTTCAGCCGGTCGATGTGCATCGCGCGGCCGATGGGGATCCAGTCGTCGTTGCGCGCGTCCAGGCGGCCGCGCACGAAGGACTCAAGGCCGGTGTACTCGGTGGGGTTGCGCTTGAGGAGGTAGTCCATGTAGAAGAGGTAGTGCAGCGCGTTGTGCTCGTGCTTCACGTGGTCCACAAAGCCGCCCAGCCGCTGCTCGAATGCGAAGCGGTCGATGCTGCACACGAAGCACTTGTCGTCTGCACGTGAGTGTGTGCGTGTGCGTGTGTGTGTGTTCGTGTGTGTGTGTGCGAGCGTGTGCGTGTGTGAGTGCGTGTGTGTGTGTGTGTGCGCGCAAGTGTGTGTGCGAGCGCGTGTGCGTGTGTGGGTGCGTGTGTGTGTGTGCACGCGTGTGTGTGCTCGTGTGTGTGTGCGCGCGTGTGTGCGCGTGCGTGCGTGCGTGCGTGCGTGTGTGTGTGTGTGTGTGTGTGTGTGTGTGTGTGTGCGTGCGTGTGCGTGTGTGTGTGCGAGCGTGTATGCGCGCGTGTGTGTGTGCGCGCATGGGTTTGCAAGCGAGAAACGAGGGAAAGGAGGGGAAAGGTACAGGGTGAGAGGAGAAGGACAATTTGAGACGAAGGATGAGCCAACAGCTAAGAGGGGAAGGGTAGGCTTTGGGGTGGAGTATGGCAAGCATTGAGGCGCCTCAACACATGGCAAGGCCGGTCTGTGTCAAGACGGACAAGACACACGTTTTTGGAGGAAGGACGGGGGCGGAGAGTTGGGGGGGAGAGGTGGGGGGGAGAGATGGGGGGGGGAGGTGGGGGGGAGAGGTGGGGCGGAGAGGCATCCAGCTCACCTAGGTCCTTCTCCTTGGCAGCCTTTTCATCACGAATGGACGTGAATGCGTCGACGATCTGCCCGGTGAAGATGTTCTGCAGGAGGAACACCCAGATGATGAGGAACGAGACGATGAACGCCGTGCGCAGCTGCCCGCGCACCTCCTCAAACATCGAGTCCGGCACCGCATCCCATTCCTTCCAAAGTCCCCCGATCGACGAGCTCGAGAGCGCGTTCACCAGGTGGGACCCGATGCACCCGTATAGAGTAGTACACGCGAAGTCGTCGTCGCCGCCGAAGGCGAGGAAGGAGACAACAGCATACATGAAGATCACGAGGATGCCCACGAGGCCCGTGCGGATGAGCAGAGGGCCGCCCACGTAGGCGGACTGAAGCACGATGGCCCCTGAGGGGTGGTAGATGAGGAAGTCCAGCAGGTGGAAGACGAAGAAGAAGGGCGACGAGACGATGCCGAGAATGCTGTTATGTAGGGGGGGGGAGAAGGGGGGGAAAAGGGAGGTTGGGTGTTGAGTTGAGACACAGGGCGAATCCAGCACGATTGTCCCTGAAGGTTGGTAGATGAGGAAGTCGAGGAGGTGGAAGACGAAGAAGAACGGGGACAAGACGATGCCAAGAATGCTGTTGTGGGGGGAGGGGCGGGGCGGAGTGGGGGGGTGAGAGGGAGGACGGGTGGTGAGAGATGCCCCATGAGGGGTGGAAGATACGGAAGCCGAGGAGGTGGAAGACGACGAAGAAAGACGATGGGACAATGCCAAGAATGCTGTTGTGGGGGCGAGTGCTGGGCGGATTGTTGGGGGGGGGGGGGGGGGGGGGAGAAGGGGGGACTGGTGGTGACAGATAGGCGGACTGCAGCACGATGCCCCCTGAGGGATGGTAGATGGGGAAGTCCAGCTGGTGGAAGACGAAGAAGAACGGGGACGAGACGATGCCAAGAATGCTGTTGCGAGGGGAGGGGGGGGGGGGAGGGGGGGATGGGCCGGGCGAGTGGTGAAAGAGAGAGAAGCTGGATGAGGAGTAGCCAGGATTTGGGGTTTAGGGGAGACTTAAGTCGTAAGGGAGCTTGATTTCACTGAATACGAGATGAACAGGATGATCAGCACGAAACACAGAGGAACGCTCTGTTGAAATCACCTGGCGAGAAGGAAGGCTCTGTTGTATTCACCTGGCAACGAGCATGGCTATGATGTACCAGAAGTCCCGATTCTGCAGCAGCAGGCGCTTGGGCACCCCCTCCAGCTCCTCCCACATCTCAGCACCCCCCACCCCCTCTTCCCCCTCCCCCTCGCCCTGCCCCATGGCCTCCGTGTGACTCCGCTCAGCTAAGGAAAGGGGATTTGCGAAGGAAGGGGGGTTTGAAGCGAAGGGGGGTGGGAAGAAAGGGCGAGGAAGGGACAAAAGAGACCAGTGAGCCTTGCTAAGACGAGGTGGAGGAGGAGTTTGGGCGGGAGACATGGGGCTTCGGATGAGCCTCGATACGAAACACCAAGGGACCCAGCGGGGCGCACAGCACAGGACATAGCACGGGGCACAGCAAGGGATGCAGCAGGGGGTGCCGTAGGGAGGGAACCAGCACAGGACACAGGGCAGGAGACAACACGAGACCCACCGTGGGGCACAGCACTCTTGTGCTCACCTAGAGAGGAGAGCGCCCCTGAGATTTCCTGCTCCTTGGCCCGTCGCTCATGCAGCACGAGCAGTGGCGATTCTATGAGCACAAACGCGACTAGCGTGAGCGCGCCTGCTGCCACCTGCAGCAGCCCTATGAGGCGCACCAACACCAGACACAGCACGTGCCCGTGCCTCTGCCACAGGGAAAGGGAGAGCGCGTGACCTCCCCCCCCCCCTGTTGCTGCTGGGAAGGTGCCTGTGGTGCTGCTGCTGCAGCTGCTGTTGCTGGGTCCTGTTATAGTGCCATTGGGTATCATCAAACCCAGGATCCCTTCGGCAGAACATGCCCTGACAGCAGCAGCAGCCGCAGTGGCAGCAGTGGCAGCAGCGTTGGCTACATCACTCGTTTGCTGTAACCCTTGCTGGTGGCTACCACCAGGGGCCGTGCTGAGCTGGGTGTTACTAAACACGAGGATGGTGACTATAACGATGGAGAGGTAGAAGGGTGCGCGCTTGAGGTGGGTCATGCGCGCCTGAAGCCATCCGGACCACGCATAGCGCAGCCGCATGCGCTCGTAGTGCTGCACCTTGTATACCAGCAGCCGCGCCGCCGCCATGAACTGCTGGACTTTCTGTGGAATGGTAGGGTTAGAGAAAAAGGGGGAGAGTACAGGGCTGGGATTGCTGCTTGCGCTCATAGTGCTGCACCTTGTAAACCAGCAGCCGCACCGCCGCCATGAATGAATGTGGGATAGGAAGGAGGGAGAGAGGGGTTGGGAGGAGTGATGGGGGGGGCAGTTGAACATGCGATTTGTAGGCCATCTAGCCAGACCACGTGTGGAGAAGTATCATCCACTCATAGTGGTGCTTTGTGTACAGGGACACCATACAACTTCTGTCAGAATCTTCTCAAAGTGGTCCTTATATTTGCAAAAAAAATTACCTGGATAGGGTTTTCTCTCGGAACGTCGTATAACTCCTGAAGGGCAGCTTGGGTCCACTGGGGGTCCTGAGACAGCCTCCTGCACTCCGGGGTCAGTGGGAAGTAAACTTTTTCCAGCTGCCCGTCGCGCACCACCTCGATCGCGCACGAGCGCTGGTTGAAAAAAACTTCCAGGTCTTTGTCCCCGACCGATAGCGTGTGCTCAAAGCATAGTGTGCCTATCCTCTGGGGCTTATCGCACTTCAGCACGGAATACGCACACGTGGCAAACGGCCCCGACCTCCCCATAAGCCTTGCAAAGCTCACCATCCCTCCTCCTGCTCCTCCTCCTCCGCCCGCTCCCCCCCCTCCCTCTCCCCCACCCCCTCGTCCCCCCCCTCCTCCCCCGCCCCCACTCCCGGAAGACCCCTCTGCTGACGTGGACCAATCGGATTTCTGGCTGGGCTCTCCGCTACAGTACATCCAGCGGTCGAAGTCGTCGAGCTTGATGATAATAATGAGGGAGTTGAGAACCTCCCCAGGCAGCAGGAAGAGGAGGGAATCCGTGTTGAATGTGCTCCAAAGGGGGGGACGCCAGAGGGGGGAGATGGTGGGAGCGGTCGTGGTGGTGTTGGCGTGAGGGAGGCGAGAAGGGGGTTTGGGGATGGAGGAGGAGGAGGAGGAGGAGGGATGGGACTGGTTGCGTGAGGAAGATGGGGCGGAGAGTGGAGTGAGAGGAGCTGCTTTCCTTGGCCTTAACCCTCCTCCTGTTCCTCCTCCTATACCCACATCTCGCCCCCTTTTGTCCCCTCCTGTCCCTCCTGCTCCTCCATCAGTGTTGAAAACACCTGAGATCCTACCTGAGCCTTGCCGCGCCAGAGCTGCCAGGCTGGACCGCCAGCTGGACGCCCGTGGGAGGAGTGGCCCAGCCAATGCACCTGACATAGGAGATCCTATTCCTGCCCCTGCCCCTGCCCCTGCCCTTGTGACCTGCTCACTCCCTTTCCTTCCTCCACCCTCTGCCTTGTCATCTTTCTCAGCTGCAGCTGCAGCTGCACGCCTCAGCGGGCTGCCACCACCAGAAGGTAAGGACAAGGCTCGCAGAATGCCCCCACCTCTTCTTCCCCTAATGTCTGCACCTGCCGCTACCTGTGCTCCTTCTACCCCTGCTAACGCTGCTGCTGCTGCTGCTGCTGCTGCTGCTGGTCCTGCCTCATCCTCCACCATCCCCTCTCCTACCCTCGCCAAGTTCTTCCCTCGCCCAACCCTCGTACCCACACCTGCCCCAACGCCCACCCTCACACCTTCCCCCCCTCGCACACCCCCATCCTCTTCCCTTCCAGCTTGACTGTTTGTCACACGGTGTTTTTCCTCCACTGATCCCGCTTCCCTTCTTTCGTCCTCGCCTCGTGAACCCCCTGCACCAGCACCAGCCGCACCAGCAGCAGTGGCACTAGGATGACAGCCACCGTTACTCCCACCCAGCAGCAGCTTGAGGCGCCTCAAAACGATAGCATCACCAGCACCAGCACCAGCACCAGCACCAGCACCAGCACCAGCACCAGCACCAGCACCAGCACCAGCACCAGCACCAGCACCAGCACCAGCGCCAGCACCAGCAACACTGCCACCACCACCCCCAACCCCACCACGCAGTCTTCCTGCCAAGAACTGCAAGAACGACCCAGAAGCTTCGCCCGCTGCTGCCACCGCTACACCGCCCTCCCCCCCTCGGTCACCACACACCACCTTATACTCCCGCAGCATCTGCAGCAGAAACGTCACCAGGCTCCGAGACGACTCAAAGTCCGCCCCTGCGTCGGGGCAGCTCACCTTGTGCTCCCGCAGCAGCTGCTGCAGCTGGCGGCAGCGGTGCAGCAAGGAGGTGAAGTCTATTACCGCTGCCATCTTGCTGGGGATCTCGCTGTTGGTGCCGATTTCCTCCAGCAGAGAGAGGTAGACTGAGAACACCCCGTTGCGCAGCCAGCAGCGCAGGTCGTTTGCGCTTAGCTGATGAGGGGGAGAGGGGAGGGGGGGAGAGGGGAGGGGATAGGGGAGGGGAGGGAAAGACAGAGAGCAGGTAGAGATGGAGGAAGGGAATTTCCTGTTGAGAGACAGCGCCATGCCACGTGCTTTGAATACAGAGAGGTGGACTGCGCAGAGGAAGGAAGGAGCAGGGGAGGCAGGAAGCACACCAGCAGTCCCCCACGGGACAAGCTTCCCACATACCCCCTGGAGACATTCACCGTGGCACACAAGGGTTTTCATTTGAGAACGAATGCTGCAGTAAAAAACTAGAAACAAAAAAGAAAAAAAGCCTAGACATCCACCGTAACACGCTGGCACTCACCGAGGGACATCCAGCCCCCCCTGCTGGGCGGGACCCCAGAGCCGTGTAGCTGAGTATACCCGCAATCACATCGGGCGAATAGCGCACGGGCGGCGCTCGCTCGTCCTGCTCCCGGTAGTTGAGCGAGGCGAGCATCCTCTGGGTGATGGAGAGGAAGTTGGACCGCACCAGGGCCAGCTGGTTCTCAAAGCACGGACCCTGGATGGCTTCCAGTAGGGTGTTGAGCGCCTGGGAAAGCGGAGTGGGAGAAGGTGGGGGGAAATGGGGAGGGAGGGAGCGTTCTCTGGGTGATGTAGAGACAGTTGGGCTGCGCCAGGGCCAGCTGGTTCTCAAAGCACGGACCCTGGATGGCTTTGAGGAGCGGGCTGAGCGCCTGGGGAAGTGGAAAGGGAGAAGTTAAGGGGAAAAAGGTTAAGGGAAAAGGGGGAGGGAGAATGCGATGGGTGATGAAGAGAAAGGTGGATCGCGCCAGGGCCAGCTGGATGGATTCTAGTAGGGTGTTGAGTGCCTGGAGTGAGGGGAAGGCAGGGGGTGAAATGAAGGGAGAGGGGAAGGAGAAGAGAAAGGGAGGAGGCGGGGCAGGGGGTGTGGAGGGTGAAGAGAGGAGTGTGGGGGGGTGAAGAGAGCGAAGAGGTGGTGAAGAGAGTGATGAGAGTGATGAGAGAGATGTGAGTGATGAGAGTGATGTGAGTGATGAGAACCTCTAGCAGCCAAGCCAAGGTCTAAATGGCAACAAGTCCCTTCTAAACACACGAGCATGGCCCTACCAATGCCAGCTTCTATCGCAATCCCTTGTGAAAACCAGCAACCAGCTCTTTCTGCATACCTGGAGGGCGATCTCGACCAGAAGAGGGTTCTTCTGCCCAAGATTCTTATCCAGCGACGGCTGCAGATGCTCCAGAAACACTATAATCTCCTGGAGTACATTCACCCCTTTGCCCTCCACCGCCCCCCCTCCCCCTCCGCTCCACCCTCTCCCTCCTCCCACCCCTCCTCCCCCCCCCACTCCCCCAATCCCACCCCCCGCTCCAGCTGCAGCAGTCCCATCGTCGTCCGCTCCTGGCCGTTCGATCCCGGGGCTTGGAGGGCCGGGATAGTCTTGCAGGCGCAGCAGGCGCTGCATCTCGGCGTTGTGGCCCTCGCACATGAGCTGCAGCATACGCAGGAGGTTGGTGACGTGCCCGGACAGAATCACCCACGCCTTCTTGTGCAGCGTGGTGTCTCTCGTTGTGGCTTTCATCCCATCCTCATTCTCCTCCACATCCCACAGTCGGTAATCCTCCTCTTCTCCACCTCCTCCTCCTCCGCCTCCTCCTCCTGCTCCCCCCCCCCCTCCTCCTCCTCCTGCCCCCCCCGTCCCTGCCCCTCCTGCCCCCTCCCTTGCAGTACTCGGAGTGGCTGCTGGGGACTCCAAACAGCATGAGTCACTTGTTGCAAGTGCAGCCGCCACAGGTGTTGGCATTTCTTCCGCATCCCCCATGTCTCTACACCCAGTGTCAATTCTCATCCTCCCAAATACACTCCTCTCACCAACCAAGCGGGCCCCACTCCTCTCACAGGCTCCACTCTTCTCGAGCCCAAGGGCCCCGCCGCAACTGGTGCTGTCATTTCTGCTCTCCACTCCAGTAGCCTCAAGCAACCTGGAGCCAGTGCTAGTGACACTGGTGCTAGCGGCGCTGGTCAGAGCAATAGTGGAAGAAGACAGCGAAGGTCTTGGTACACCACCACCAGATACAGCAGCAGGAGGAACCTTTGCCTTTCCCAATGATGGTGGTGGTGATGTTGAAGATGATGATGGGAATTCCTGCTGTGTGCTGATAGGTGCATTGTTGTGACTGTAACGAGGAGCAGAGGAGGCACCAGGGGAGGTACAAGGTCTACTCCCACTCTCTTCCAATCCCCCCACGTTACCAGCCATATCCATCCCTGCATCCCCAGCCACCTCTGGGCCACTTGTGTCTGTATCCACACCCACACTTGTTACAGCATCTGTTATTCTAGGCTCTGCAGCAGCGTCTTTAGCCAAAGGAGAACCTGCAAGAGCAGAAGGAGAACCGGCAAGGGCAGGACGAGGGGAGTCAGACGGCCCTGCTTCCATCTCAATGTCCATTTCCGAGCCACTCTCCCCGCCCTCGCTGCTGCCGCTGCTACTGCTACTGCTGTTGCTGGTGCCGCTGCTGTTACCCCTCCGACCCAGCAGCGTTCTATTCAGTCCATCCCCACTCGTTCCCCCCCCACCTCGTGCCATGTTTCCCTCTCGGTGCGGCGCCACATCCTGGGAAGCCGACCGTTCCTTCATTATTCTCACCGCGTTTAGAAACAGGGCCCTCGTTGCTACTCTGCTCGCCCCCCCCTTGCCCTCTGCTCTGTCTTTATCTCCCACTGCAGCTTCTCTGCTTAGCTCTGCTTCCCTCGCTCCCCCTCTGCTCCTCTCCTCTGCTGCACTGCTGCCACCCACAGCACTGCGGTCCGCCTTTGAAAGCGCCTCAGGGTGCGTGGGAGCAGAGCCATGCGCATTGCCTGCTGCAGCAGGTGTCAACGCATGACCCATATCCACACTACCAGCACCTTCGGATCCAGTAACCAAGCTCACACCCTCTCTGCTTGCCTTTCCAGCACCATCTCTCCGTTCCCAACCAGCAGCACCTGCACTCTCTCTATCAACCTCTCCTCCAACTCTCCCTCTCCCCCCTCCTGCTCCTCCTCCGCCCCCTCTCCCCCCCCCTTTTCCTCCCCCTCTCCCTCCCCCATCAGCCACATCCCCCTCACCCCTCCCTCCACCTCCCCCCCCCTTCTCCCCCCCCTCCCTCTCGCCCCCCTCCCCCCCACCCGCAGTTGCCGCCTCTCCATCTCCTCCCTCCTCGCCTTCACCTCTGCCTTATCCAACCCCTTCCTCACAAACTTAACCGTCGACGACGCCGCAGCAAGCACCTTCTTAACCGTCTGGAAAAACTCCGGCTCGTGAACCAGCACCGAGTACATAGTGGCCTGCACACGCCCGTTCCCTTCATCTGTGAGGGCTATTGCGAGCTTCACAGCCTCTGCTTGGACCCACTGGCTCGGGTGGCTGACTAGCTTCACAGCACACGCAGCCAGGCCCATTTCTGTGTACCCGCACTGGACTCGAGTCAGGGCTTCGAGGGATGCTTTCGAGTATCGGACCGGGACGGATGCCTCGAACATGTCCCACTTGCCCATCGTTCGGAGTCTCTCCGGCTGGCCCTTCATCCCTCCTCCTCCTCCCCCAATCCCACTGCCACCGCCACCACTGCTGGCAACCCCGCCAGCAGCAGCGGCAGCGCTGGTCGCAGCAGAGGCGGCACTGTTGTTCCCCCCGCTGCTGCTTACTGCTCCGCTGCTGCTTTGAGTGCTTGTGCCATCAACTTTGCCACCGCTGTCGCCACCATCATCACCACCACCATTCTCACCACCTACACCTGTCCCTCCACCTCCACCTACCCCTGCCCTCGTAGTCTCCTGCTTCATTACTGGCTTGCCATCCCAGTCGTCTGTCAGGTATATCATGGCTCGGCACACCCGAAGCAGCCGAACCATCAGGTCCGGAGTCAACTGCGGCGGGACCTTAGGGCTGGACAGCAGGCTTGTCAGCTGAGGCACTACGTTGTAGTAGTGGAACGGTGGGGAGTACGACACGTCAACCGGCCGGCGCTGAGTCAGCATGAGCGCCAGGTGTCGCGCTCCTGACCCCTCCATGGTCTGCAGGTCGGAAATATCTAGCTTCTGTGAAAACAAGCGGCAAAAGTTCACCCAATTCGCTTTGAAAATCTGCCCCTTGCGCTGGAGCTCGGTGCCCCGGGCACGGCTCACAGCTGCCCGGTCGACAAAATAAGGCAGAGAGGACGGGCCGTAGTCGAATCTGGAGACGGCACCTGCCGCTTTCATCTCCTCAATGCATCTCAGAGGAGCGTCGCGCTGCGAGGGAGGCAGCTTGCCACAGAGATGCCAGATGGCATCTGCCAATTGGTCCAGCAGCACTCTGTGGGAGTCCGGGAGGTTGGCTCTTCGGGCGATGAAGTGGCGCTTGAAGTATGACGTCAGCATGGGCAGCGCTGCAGTTGCCACGAAATGCTGCGCGGATCCCTCGGGCGGCGCGTGGTCAAACTCTTCAGATGCTGCCAGCTGGAGCTCCGAGATTAGATCCTCGATTAGGCACAGGCGGGCTTCGGCAGAAGAGGGGTTGTGGGGAAGGAGACCTGCAACTGCTGCTGTGAGTGCGGCGGTTGATCCCATGGATATCGGACGGAATCGGTTCTCTTTGCTGTCTCGACTGGCTCTTCTTGGTCCATCGACACTTGTGTTGGAGGCAGCAGAGGCACCAGGAGGAGGAGCAGCAGCACCAGCAGTAGCAGCAGCAGCAGCCGCAGCAGTAGCAGCAATACCACCACTACCAAGAGCAGATATGTGACTGACAAAACCAGCGGGAGCAACACCAGCAGCAGCAATGTTAGCAGCAGCACCAGAGCCATGACCAGCAGACCCAGCACTACCCCTTCCACTAGATCCCACACCTCCCGACTCCACTCCCACTCCACCTCCACCTCCCACCTCCTCAACCCCTCCTCCTGCTCCTCCCCCTACCCCTCCTGCTCCTCCCCCTGCCCCTCCTGCTCCTCCCCCTTCTCTCCGTGGCAGCTCCTGCGGCCAGATGCCATTGGTGGGGTCGCGGATTTCAGCGGTGGCTCGGTCGCTATGGCCGGTGACATACACCTGGTGCAGCAGGCGCACATATGCCGCCTTCACTAGGCGGATCGTCGCCATGTCCAGGACTGACTGCACAGGCTCGGGCACAGATGCTGCTGCTGCTGCTGCCGCTGTTAATGCTGCTGCTGTAGCTGTAGCTGATGTGGTCCCTGTTGATGTTGCTGCAGATGTTGTTGTAGTTGCAGCTGTTCCTGCCATTGGCTCTTCTGCTGACTCTGGTGTTGGCTGTGATCCTGACGATATTCCTTGTGCTGCTGCTTCTGCTGCTGCTGCTGCTGCTGCTGCTGATTCTACCCCTGCTGCTGCAGCAGCTCCTCTACCTTCCCTGCCAGCGCCTGCCTGCCCCTGTGTCTCATCCACTGTCTGCTGCACCAGTTCCCGGCCCTGCCCCTGCCTCTGCTCCAAGCCCTTCCCCTGCCCCAGAAACTGCCCCCTTTCCTGCTGCTGTACCTCCTTCCCCTCCCCTACTCTCCCTTTCTCCCTCTCCCCCGCCCTCTCCCTCTCCCTCTCTCTCGCCCTGAGACCCATCCTGGTTTCTGAGCTGAGCCAAAGCAGAGTGGCCATCACCTCTCCAAGTCCCACCAGCCCGCCCACCTTCACTGCATGCGCCGGGTTGTTGCCCCAGCAGCAAGCGGCAAGCAACGACACGTACGCTGCATGGAAGCGAACCTGCAAAGATGGGGACGGGAAAGGAGCAAAGAAGACGAGATTTGGGCCTCCAGCCCTCCCATGTCATGGTATGCACTGGGCTGTTGCCCCAGCAATAGGCCGCAAGTAGTGACACGTATGCTGCATGGAAGGGAACGTGGAAAGTGCCCTACAATCCGCCTAGTGAAGGCGGCATATGTGCGCCTGCTGTGAAGGCGGCATATGTGCGCCTGCTGTGAAGGCGGCATATGTGCGCCTGCTGTGAAGGCGGCATATGTGCGCCTGCTGTGACTACTACGGATCGTCGCACGTGGCAGAGGAGTGGGTGGGAAGGAACGGAAGAATGAGCAATCGCCCCTGCTGTTATCTCTACTCTCTACCAATACTCCACCCATGTCCGCAAGGTTTCTGCCTTAACACTAGGAGGCTATACGGGACACATGCACGAACGGAAAAAGTGATTCTCAATCAACTGACCTTGAGAGTTTTAATGCCCCACTCAACCGGAACGCACCTGGCTAGCACCTGAACCCTCAAAGGATTGGCCTCAAAGAATCTGCCCCACCCCACCCTCACCCTAAACCCTCAACCCTCACCCTGCTTCTCACAACCTAGCTCGCATGAGGCTTAGAGCCCGCCCCACCAGCTGCCATCCTCTCACCTCTCCCTTGCCACTGGTAGGTAAGTGCCCTACCAAACACCACGCTCCCCCTTTCCGGCCCCCACACCAGGCTTTCACGCAGCTTTGCAGCAGCCTCACCCGCAGCCACAAGTTCCACCTTGCTTGCTCTCTTGCTGTTGGGAAGTGCCTTATTATCAACCACAACCACCCCGTTCCCCACGTCACCTGGCTCTCATGCGGCTTGGCAGCAGCCTCGCCCGCAGCCATGAGCTCTCTGCGCCGTCGCCAGTGCGCAGGTGTCTTGGGCAGGCCGGCAATGGAGTGCGTGTGGTCGATCACCATGTCCAGCACCGCCGCCTGGTTGCGCCCCATGGGCTTGCCGTTCACCACCACCACCGTCTGGGGGGGGGAGGGGAGGGGGGTTGTTTGGGAGATAGGGCGTTGGGAACGAGTAATACAAACATGGAGAGCCATGGGCTTGCCGTTAATCACCACCACTGTCTGAGGGGGAGAGAAAGGAAAAGCAGGCATGGGGAGGGAAGGCCTGAGGTAGGGCCAGGAAAGAAAGCCAGGAAAGAAAGCCAGGAAAGAAAGCCAGGAAAGAAAGCCAGGAAAGCTTTCAGAAGGCTCACCTAAACCAGCCCAAGAGCTTGCCTGTCTGTCTAAAAAGGGCCCACCACCCACCTCTCACCTCTAAGAACCTGAGCCAGGAGTGGCGGCGGTTGAACTTGAGAATGAGGCGGAAGCATGACCAGATGAGGTCCAGGCCAACCTGGGATGTGCGGAATGGGGGGGAGGAGGGGAGAGGGGGGGAAGGGGGGGAGAAAAACGAGAAAACAGAAATGGGAACATGCAGAAAGGCCTATCTGATGACGAGCCTCATTGCTTTCCTGGATACATACACACCCAGAGCGTCTGTTTATTTTACTGTTTGCTTTTTATTTTCTTCTCTTTTTTGTTACAGGAACATGCATGGCTGGTTTGGTGGCATGGTCCCACCTGGGCGCAGAGCTCATAGTTGTCTTTGAGTATGGCGCACAGGCACTCAGTCACCTGGAATGGCAGTGGGAGGGGCAATGAGGCAATGCAGCGAGAGGGAACAGCACAGGGAGGAGGATGGCACGTGAGGGCGGACGGCAGGTGAGGATGGAGGGCAGGTGAGGATGGAGGGCACGTGAGGATGGAGGGCAGGTGAGGGAAGCAACAGCATGTGGAACAGCGGATGTGTATTCTTGCTGTGCACATGTGTGTGTGAGGATGCATCAGGGCATGCATGCGTGCATGGGTGAATGGTTAACAGTCGCAACTGTGTGCATGTATGCATGTAACGCGGTAAGCTTGCAGGAATACGCGAGAGCGTGCAATGCAAACTTTCATTGCAGCAAGCCCCGCCTGCACCAAGCCTCACCTGCACCAAGCCCCACCTGCACCAAGCCCCACCTGCACCAAGCCCCACCTGCACCAAGCCTCACCTGCACCAAGCCTCACCTGCACCAAGCCTCACCTGCACCAAGCCTCACCTGCACCAAGCCTCACCTGCACCAAGCCCCACCTGCACCAAGCCCCACCTGCACCAAGCCTCACCTGCACCAAGCCTCACCTGCACCAAGCCTCACCTGCACCAAGCCCCACCTGCACCAAGCCCCACCTGCACCAAGCCTCACCTGCACCAAGCCTCACCTGCACCAAGCCTCACCTGCACCAAGCCTCACCTGCACCAAGCCCCACCTGCACGCCCTGAAGCCCTCGGTGCGGCAGCATGAGGGGAATGAACGGAAAGAGCGTGAGCTGGATCTCCTCGTTCACCACTCCCCCACAGAACTGCCCCAGGCATGGGGAGAGCAAAGGGAAAGGAACGAAGGGAGGAAGCGGAGAGCAAGGATGACTGGGAAAGCATATCTGATGCGCAATCCAACTCTTACATGTGCAGTGGACCATAGATGACTGTGTGATGTGTGAGAATAGCATAGCTGGTAGTGTGGATTGCATGGTGTTGAAATACAGGAAAGACCGAAAATACCATAACAGGGCCAGACTGTATGCTGGTATGCATGGTAACAGCCTGGCATGCTATGCTAGTAACCATGCATGTGAAAAGGGGCGCCCCAACATACGAATCACGCATAGACGTTGCCTCTCTACAAACAATGGTGCATGCATGCATGCATGCATGACGCGCATGCGAATGTGCAACCATGGTGAGACTTCTAAACAGAATTCACGACACATACACACATGCACACATGACATGGCACACATGACATGGCACACATGACATGGCACACATGCACACATGACCCACATGGCACAGAGGTGGCTGTACTGTACCATGGTGAGGAACTCATAGGCAGCTTGCAGCAGCGCTTGCAGCCCCTCATCCTCGATACAGTCCATCTCGCCCCTCACTTGAGACGGAACGCGTCGGAAGGGCAGACGTAGCATGTCACCTGCGGCATGCCAGCAGAAGCAAGTGCACAGAAAGAAAGCAAACACGCTTCTTACGTATGCATGCACGCACAAGTGCGACGCTACAAAGAAAAGCAGCACAGCAAGTTAACTTGTGGCCCCCAAGACAAGTTGTAGTAACCTGCACGATCTGTTTCCCCTCTCTTTGCATTTCCGCCTGGGGTCTCGCTCCCCCCTCCCCATCTCCAACCCCTTCCCCTTCACACACTGGCAGCACAGCACAGCAGCGCGCACCCACCCAGTGGAGCGACTTGACACAACCAGAACCACACCAGACGATTTTCTCGCTGTCTTTGAAAGGACCCTAGGGTAGGGGGTAGAGAGAGAGACTCACGGGCGCAGCAGTGCGCGCCAAGGGTCTTGAGAATCGTCTGATGCTTGACCACCTGGGCCTCGTTCTGCCCCTGGCTCAGCGTGCACATGTCTCGGAACTTCCAAAGCACCTCGCAGCACCGCCGCCGCACCTCCCCCCTCAGCAGCTCGTTGTCGCTCCCCAGCCACCCGTGCAGCGACCTCAGCATGTTCACATCGTGAGCTACTTGCTTGTACAGCCGCAGCACGTCTGGGTCCACCACGATGTGGGTTGAGAGCATTTTCCGCAGGAGAGAGGCCTTTTCCATCATGTAGCGGTCGATGAGGGCGAACGCGAGCGCTCTTAACGGAGCGTACTTATAACGAGTCAAGTCTAGCAGCACCTTCATCATGTACGGTACCCGATTTCCGGCTTTCCCGCCCTCATTCCCTCCTGCTACGCCTCCACCTCCCCCTCCCCCTCCCCCACCCCCTCCCCCTTTACCTCTCCCTGAACCTCCTCTTCCGTCCGACCCACCAGCGCTGCTACTTATCACGTCGCTCTCACCCTCCCTCCCCCCTCCCACATCCTCTCCTCCCATCCTGCGCCCCACTTCCTCCCTCAACCGCGTTTCTTCCTGCATGCCTGCCTCCTCTCGTAAAACAGCACCCGAGGGACTAAGCTCCGGCGTCTCAAATAGGTCTTTAAAGAGCTGGTCAAATACTGCGGAATCAGGGGGGCCCACTCGCGACGGCCTGACAAACCCTCGGAGAGTAGAAGCAGCTTCTAGCTTTAAACGAGTCGACCACCAGAGGGACTTCCTCCTCATAATCAACGCACTGCTATTGCCACCACTGCCACCGCCACTGCCACCGCCACTGCCACCGCCACTGCCACTGCCGTTACTAGATCCATAACCGTAACCACTGCCCCCTCCACCCCCTCCACCACCACCACCGCCACCACCACTGCCACCAACACTACCACCACCATACGTCCCCCTGCCGCCGCCGCCACCACCCTCCTGTCCAGATACAACGAACCTCCTCCCCCCCCCACTCTCCCCACCCATCGGCCCGTTCTCCCCTCCCAGAGCTCTCTGCAGAGCCGCAACCGCGTCCTTGGGAATACCGGTGTCCAGCGAAGTCAGAGACGCAGAGTGGGATGAGAGGTGCTGTGAGAGAGAGGAGGAGGAGGAGGGGGTGGTGTGTTGGTGCAACCCTATGGCTTGCACTCGGCTTGTCGTCCTTGTTTGTGTGTGTGCATGCATGGCATGGAATGAATTGTGAGTCTATGTCATTGCTATCCAGTGCTTGTGTGTGTGTTTGAATGGTGTATCACAATGTGGTTTGTGTCGGTCAAGACATTAGCAAGTTTTTACAACTCGCATGTCAAGTCGTCGTTTGTGTGTCGCATGTGTTTTTTCTATTTTGTCGAGTGTGAAGTGTCGATCGTGTCGCAGGTGTGTGCAGCAAGCCCCCATCAACTCAAGAAGAATTTATCTTGCAGATCCAGGAACAAGAGCTCAAGATTTCAAGCCCAAGGGACGCGGATAAATATTAAATAGTGAAAATAGTAACGTTACTTCGTGTAGTGTTACATTTCACTTGGTGTAGCCCCTTGGAGGGTTGGTTTCGAGACTCTTCATGGTTGGGGACCCTGTGGTGGTGTACCACCAACCTGGACCTCGGCTCTTGGGGTATGTAGAGGCTGGGAACCATCTCCCTCTCGAACTCTTCTTGCTAAGTTTGTACTCCTAAGACTATTGTGGCTGCTATACCTCCTGCCAGTCAAACCGCCATAGCGTCGTCAAATCTTCATGGAATTTCATGATTCAACTTGCTGCTGATAGACGACAGCAACACGCTCCAGATCCAATTTACACATCACCGTTTGATTCAGTGACCAGATCGTTATCAGTATTTGAAGCCGTCTGACAGAAATCCGACTGTGCTCTCTATCTCTCATTATAGGCACATCTAAGCCTATTGTGATTATAACAAGTGGTATCAGAGCCCCTTGGAGCTGTCTCGACCATGCCTAGGCCTGAGGAAGGGGGTGGCAGAGGTGTTGGAGGCAGAGAAGACGCCCAAGCACAAGGTCAACACCAAGATCCACCCGTTGCTCCGGTGCAACCTAGCCTTGGACCCTCTAGGGATGAGCCTAGAGTGTTTGGCCTTGACAAGTTCAACGGTGACAACTTTGCTGAGTGGTCCTTCAAGATGGAGAACATCTTTGACCATTATGATCTGCTGGAGGTGATGGAAGGAACGGAGAAGCACCCCGAGAACGACCCGGAGAAGAGCCCGTGGGTGCGGAAGAGCGCACAAGGCTACCTTCTACTTGGGCAAGCGTTGGGGAGCAGCCAAATCCGTCACATCAAGCCTTTTCAGCGTGAACCAGCAAAGGGACCAAAGGCATGGGCTGCTCTCAAGGGTGTACACGCTCCTGCAACAGCGGCGGTGGCTGTGGTTTTGGAGCGGCAAATGGCGGCACTTCGAATTGACGAAGGCGAACCGGTGGAGGAAGGAGTGCAGAAATTCTTCGACTTGTTGACACGGCTCGAAGGAGCTGACCTGAACTACAGTGACCTTCAAAAGAAGACCAAGCTGCTAGCCTTACTTCCGGACTCATGGTCCTCGCTCATCATCAACCTTAATCGAGATCTGCCCCGTCTCTCACTCGAAGATGTGAAGCGGGAAATCTTACAAGAAGATTTCCGCCGTCGCGAATTGGCGGGTCCCGATGGTGCCGGAGTTGCAAGCATGGGCCGTGGGCACGGCCGTGGAAGGGGCAGAGGGCGAGGAGGCAGATTTGGCAGCAGCAACTTCAATGGAGGCCGTGGTAATGGAGGATATGGCAGCAACAACAATGGCTACGGGCGTGGGCGCGGTCGATTTGATGGCGAATGCCACTTTTGCCACAAGACCGGCCACATGTGGAGAGATTGCTTCAAACTACCTGATGGCTGGACCCCCTCTCAAGGCCAAGAGGGCAGAGGAGCAAGGGGAGGAAGAGGCAGAGGTCGTGGAGGCCGTGGTGGCCGTGGAGGCGAAGCGGCAAGCATGAAAGGTGGAGACTACGACAAGGACTCGAGTGAAGATCGATACCCGGGCCAATTCTTCTTTGTCTCCACGCAAGCGGCAGCTGCAGCAGGAGGTGTGGAAGGCTTTGAGGAGCCAGCTACTGTGGGAAAGGTCACCCTTCACTCTCTGGACTTTTGGGTGATCGATAGCGGCGCCACCTATAGCATGACACCTCGTGCGGACTTGCTCACCGAACTCGAACCGTCGCCGGTCAAGCATGTTACATCGGCTTTGGGACAGCGAGCAGAGGTGAAAGGCATGGGCAAGGCCATGTTCAAGGGTGCTGATGGGAAGATGGTGGGCCTCAAGAACGTGCTTTTGGTGCCCAACCTAGCAGCCAACCTGATTTCCGTTCGGCGTTTGCAAAAGGCCGGCATGGACACATCTTCCAAGGGTTCGAAAACATATACCGCGAGGCTTGGTGAGCGGAAGCTTTGGGACCTTCATGAGGACAGGGACATCTACAATGAGATGTGGCAAATCCCAGTGGTCCCCATGCCTAAGGAGAGGCAAGTGGCAGCAAGCGTCAGCACCAAGAGTGAAGCGGATGGTGGCGGTGATCACGGAAAACAAAGTGACACCAAGAGTGACTCGAAGGAGTGCAATCTTGGAGAGACCAGCAAGGCGTGTGAACCCAAGGAGAGTAGTGCAGCAGCCAAAGGTGGTGGAAATGAGGAGGGGAAACCTAAGATCAGCAAAGCAGCAGCGGCGAAGGAGAAAGGAGAGAGCTTGTGGGACACGATTGCGAGTGCCGCTTTCTCCAACCCGACTTCCGCTACGGGAGAGTGTGATTGGCTGACCTTGCATCGGCGAATGGGGCATGTGGCATTGCCCATTTTGCAGCAGATAGTTAAGCAAGAGATGGTCAGTGGGATACGTGTCAAGGGGGAGCCCAATGAGGTGCTTGGCTGTCCAACATGCATGCAAGCCAAGTTCACCCGCTACCCGTTCCATAGCTCGGAGACAACGGCGAAGGCACCACTTGATGAGGTGGTGATGGATGTGGTGGGCCCCTTGAAGCTTGGAGCTGCTGGAGCTGCGTACTTCCTCACCATTGTGGACGTCTACACTCGCATGACTTGGGTGTATGTGCTGCCAAAGAAGAGTGACGTAGCTGAAACGGTGAAGACCGATTGGTTGCCGATGGTGGAGCGGCAACAAGACCGACTTGTGAAGGCGATTCGCACTGACCGTGGGGGAGAGTTCCTGAGCAAGGATTTCTCAACTTGGCTGAAGAAGCAGGGCATAAGGCACTCTCTTACCATGCCCTACTCTCCTGCAATGAACGGCATCGCCGAGCGTGCGAATCGGACACTCACGGAGACGGCTCGGGGACTTCTCATTGAAGCCGGTCTTCCCAATTACTTTTGGCCGGATGCGGTGCGGCATGCTTGTGTGGCCAAGAACAGAGCCTTGACTCATGTGGGAGAAGACAAATGGGTGCCCTATGTGGAGTGGATTGGAAGGAAGCCGAAGGTGGATATGCTTCGGGTGTTCGGGTGCATGTGCATGGCACTTGTGCCTAAGAAACTTCGGCACAACAAACTTGATGCCAAGGCAACATGGGCCGTGCACCTGGGCATGGCTCAAAACAGCAAGGGATGGCTTCTTTGGGACCCATTTACCAAGAAGTTCTTGGTGAGCAGAGATTGCAAGTTCATGGAGAACTTACCGTACAAGGAGTGGAAGGCGGAGAACCAAGCGAAGATTGGTATGCGGCTTGGAGAGGTGAAGAGTAACGGCTTGGAGCATGTGGAGCTGCCCTTGGAGCTGAGTAGCAGCAGCACAGTCACGAGGCAATCTCCTCAAATGAATGGGGATGAAGAGGAGGAGGAGGTGCAGCAAGGTGATGAGCGTGCACCGTCACTTCCGCCTCGTGCTACAAGTGCTCGTGGGAACCGACCAGATTTACCGCAATGCCATGAGAGCATTCAAGTCCCTGCAGCAGAGGAGGAAGGAAGGGGGAGAAGGAGAACTCAGCCCCCTAATAGGTTGAGCTATGATCGGCTTGGAAGACCAGCCAACTCAACCTTGACCGGTTCGGCTCTCATGCTAGGCGATGATGCGGAAGATGAAAGCGAGGAGTGCGCCTTTGCCTTCTTCTCTCCGGTGGAGATGCCGGGGGAGCCTACAAATCCCAAGGAGGCTTGGGAGGGCCCCAATGGGAAGGAGTGGAAGAAGGCCTCAGATGAAGAAATGGGGAGCATCATCGAGAACGACACGTTTGACTTGGTGAACCTACCTCCGGGGCGTAAGGCGATCTCTTCCAAGTGGCTCTTCAAGCGCAAGACCGACGCCGACGGCAACATCGAGCGCTACAAGAGCAGACTTGTAGCCAAGGGGTATCAGCAGCAAGAGAAGAAGGACTACAATGAAGTGTATGCTCCTGTGGTGAAGGGTACAACCCTTCGAACCCTCTTCGCCGCGGCGGCCATCAAAGGATGGGTGGTGAAGCAAATGGATATCGTAACGGCCTTCCTCAACGGCGTTTTGGAGGAAGAAACCTACATGGAGCAGCCAGAGGGGTACAATGATGGGAGTGGCAGAGTGTGGAAGCTGAAGAAAGCACTCTATGGCCTCAAGCAAGCCCCTAGGCAATGGTACATCAAGCTGCGGGAAGTTTTGGAGGCGATCGGCTTCACTCCCTCAACGGCCGATCAATCGTTGTTCATGCTTGGCGAGGGGGAGCAGAGGAGCTTCATGGTGGTTTATGTGGATGACATCCTTATATTCTCACCCTCCTCTGACCTTGTGAAGGAGGTGATGCTGAAGCTTCAAGACAAGTTCAAGTGCAAGACCCTTGGTGACGTCAACTACTACCTTGGGCTTCACATTGAGCGAGATGTGGAGAAGCGGTGGATGCGAGTGCATCAAAAGAAGTACTTGGAGGCCTTGGCTGCAAACTTTGGGAAGAGTGAAGGTCATGTGGCTACTCCTCTTCCCTCAGGGTTCAAGTGTGTGAAAGGACCAGCGGAGGAAAGTGTTGGTGAAGAGGAGAGGCGCCGTTTTCACTCCTTGGTGGGCAGCCTCATGTATGCGGCCGTTCACACAAGGCCGGATGCAGCCTTTGCTACCGGGCAGCTGGCTAGGGTTGTCCAATGCCCTAATGAAGAGCAGGTAGCAGCTGGAGAGAGAGTGGCCAAGTACCTTGGCCAAACAGCAACTGTTGGACTGCAATACTCCGCGGCGGCACAAAGGCGTCAAAAGGGTGCGGATGGAGTCGAACCCGGGAGGCTTTTTCTCACCGCCTTCTCTGATGCATCTTGGGCATCAGAACCAGAGGACATGACAAGTGTGGGAGGCTTCATCTGCTGTGTTGGTGGAGGGCCAACAGCTTGGGAGAGCAAGAAGCAAGTGGACCAAGCATTGAGCTCGGTGGAGTCCGAGTACATGGCACTCTTCCGTGCCATAAGAGAGGTTGTGTGGCAGCGGCGTTTGCTAGCTGAATTGGGGGAGGAGCAGCAAGGACCTACCCCACTCTACTGTGATAGCCAGGGTGCTATTGCATTGGCTAAGAACCCCGTTCTTCATGGCCTTACCAAGCACATGAAGGTGAAGTGGCATTGGGTGAGGAGCATGGTAACCGCGGGTGAAGTGGAGTTGCACTACGTGAAGACGACGGCGCAGCCAGCTGATATGATGACCAAGAGGCTGGTTGAGCAGCAGCATTGGAAGTGTTGCAAGCTTGCTGGGATGGCTCTGAACTAAGGGGAGCAGATTCTAAGGCCAACAATCCGAGGGGGAGTTTGTTGGTGCAACCCTATGGCTTGCACTCGGCTTGTCGTCCTTGTTTGTGTGTGTGCATGCATGGCATGGAATGAATTGTGAGTCTATGTCATTGCTATCCAGTGCTTGTGTGTGTGTTTGAATGGTGTATCACAATGTGGTTTGTGTCGGTCAAGACATTAGCAAGTTTTTACAACTCGCATGTCAAGTCGTCGTTTGTGTGTCGCATGTGTTTTTTCTATTTTGTCGAGTGTGAAGTGTCGATCGTGTCGCAGGTGTGTGCAGCAAGCCCCCATCAACTCAAGAAGAATTTATCTTGCAGATCCAGGAACAAGAGCTCAAGATTTCAAGCCCAAGGGACGCGGATAAATATTAAATAGTGAAAATAGTAACGTTACTTCGTGTAGTGTTACATTTCACTTGGTGTAGCCCCTTGGAGGGTTGGTTTCGAGACTCTTCATGGTTGGGGACCCTGTGGTGGTGTACCACCAACCTGGACCTCGGCTCTTGGGGTATGTAGAGGCTGGGAACCATCTCCCTCTCGAACTCTTCTTGCTAAGTTTGTACTCCTAAGACTATTGTGGCTGCTATACCTCCTGCCAGTCAAACCGCCATAGCGTCGTCAAATCTTCATGGAATTTCATGATTCAACTTGCTGCTGATAGACGACAGCAACACGCTCCAGATCCAATTTACACATCACCGTTTGATTCAGTGACCAGATCGTTATCAGTATTTGAAGCCGTCTGACAGAAATCCGACTGTGCTCTCTATCTCTCATTATAGGCACATCTAAGCCTATTGTGATTATAACATGGTGGTAGCGTCAGCAACAGAGGAGGGGTAGGCGGAGGAGAAGGGGTCGGAGGGGCGGGAGAGGAGCAGGGGCATGTCCCAGAAATTGGCAATGGTGCGATCGCTGAGGTCGCAGTAGCAGTCGAATGCGATGCTGATGCACCAGTTGATGCGCATGTCGAATATGTACATGAGCATGGCGCACATGATGGTCTTGGCCTGACGGGGAGCGGGAATGGGGGGGAGAGGGAGGGGTGATGGGCATGGGGGAGGGAAAGAGCGGTGCTGTGATGCACCAGTTGATGCGCATGTCACATGTGTACATGAGCATGGCTCACGTGATGGTCATGGGAAGATGGAGAGGGGGGGATGGGGGATGGGGGATGGGGGATGGGGGGTTAAGCACGGGGAAACGGAAAGATACTGATGCACCACGCACGCACGTCGAACATGGACATGAGTGTGAGGCACATGATATGACGGATGGTCCTGGCCTGTGAAGTGTGAGGGTAAAGGAGGGATGAGGGGGTTGGGGAGACTGACGAGGGCCAACGGCGAGATGGATAGGGGCGTGAGGAGGAGGGAACGCTGTCAAGCAGAGGGGGGAAGGACGGGGGCATGGGGAGAGAGAGGAGTATGATATGGGTGTCCCCCTTTGCAGAAGTATATGCAGTGGGTGATCCTCTCTAGCTGCACCCCTCAAGGTGAAGTATCCCTCCTTTCCTCCCCTCACCTCCATTCATCACCTCCCTAACCCTTCGTTCCCCCCTCCCCTCACCTCCATGACTGCACTGCTGTGCGGCTCGTGCTGATTCTCGAATCTGAGCCTGCAGCTGCCGTCCCACGGCTCTGACCTGCCGTCCAGCAGAGGGATGATAGCAGCCACCACTTGAGCTATGGAACTGTCCCAGTCCTGGTGGTGTGCCATGGGTGGTGAACGAGGTGTGTGTGAGGGGTGGTGTGCCATGCGGTGTGCCGTGGTGTGGAATGGTGTGGTGTTGGAAGATGGGAGGTATCAGGGAACAAAATCATTGGTCATTACATCCCCAAGAAAGCCACAGATTGAAATGCATCAACTGGATGCAAATTCTTCAAGTGGACTCAGAAGCAAATTCTGAAATGCATAAATTGGCTGCAACCACCGCAAAAACCGCCACCAACAATGGAACACGGCAACGTGGAGCGGAGAGGCAAGGCAGCCCACCGGCAACGACAAGACTAGGGAGGCAGGCAGAGCCGAACAGCTCGAACTGCAGCATGCTTCTTCCCATCTGGAGCACGGCCAGCATGAGCGCACTCTGCTGGAGGCACTTCAGAAATCGTCGCACGCACCTGGGAGAAGTTCCCAAACAGCCCGAACTGCAGCTAGGCTTGAGCAACAGGTCGGGTCGGGTCGGGTAACCCGACCCGAACCCGACTTTTTGATGGGTCGGGTCGACATTTGCGGAGGGTCGACCCAACCATCGCGTACCCGACCTGACCTGACCCTACCTGATCTGACATAACCCGACCCCTCGAGTCGGATTATCACCTGTCCCTGCCCCTATGCCAACCTGACCCGACCCGACCCGACCCGGCCCGGGTCAGGTAGTACCCGACCTATTAAACACGGGTCGGGTTAACCTTGCCTGAACTCTGACCCGAATTGACCCGAACCGACCCGAACCGAACCCGACATCGGGTAGGGCAAAGTCGGGCCGGGTCGGGTTTATGCTCGAGCCTAACTGCAGCAAGCTAGGGTGAGCGCACCCTCACTGAGGCGTCTGAGGCGCCTCATCAATTCCCACACGCACCTGGGAGAAGTTCCCAAACAGCCCGAATTGCAGCATGATGCTTCCCATCTGCAGCACAGCCAGGGTGAGCGCGCTCTGCCCCGCGGAGCAAGCCGAGGACAGGCGCGTGCCATGCAGGTACGCCAGCGTGCACGCCTTAAGCTCCCCGAACTCCCTTTCAGGAGCCTTGCCGGGGAAGGCGGAGAAGGGGTCCGCCATGGCCATGTTCACGTGGTCGGGCTCGGTCAGCGTCTCTGCGTCCGAGTCGTCTATGGTGGGCCTGGTGAAGGAACGGGAGGGAGGTCGGTGGTTTGGTTTGGGATGCACTAGAACCGCGGAAGGCCGAGGAAGGGGTCGGCAATGGCCATGTCTCGCTCAGAGTGGGAGGTCTCTGCGTCGGGATTGTCTATACTCTATGGTGGGCCTGAGGAGATGCGGTGGCCGGGGAACGAGTGAACGAAGGAGAAGTTGGTAGAATAGAATCAAGAGGGAAAGCAGGTCACTACAAGAGCGTGCTAAATACTGAGGAGCCTCAAAAGGGGCACCAGGCTTGCCAGGCTTGCCAGGCTAGCCAGGTCTGCCTGCCAGGCAAGACCCGCTGATGAGCACAACAGCAAGCTACAAAAGGGGCACCAGGCTTACCTGGCGAGCACAACGCTGTTCCAATAACAACCTCGTAGGGGCTCCTTGGTCAAGCTATAACAGCAAGTGCTGAATCAATCGCTTGGTTCTAACTCGTCTCATCACTCGCCCATGACGGTCAAACGGGACCCACTCACCTTGTGAGCATGACGCTGCCCTGTGGCACGAGCTCAAAGGGCTCCCTGTCGAGGTACATGGGCGCGAGCAGGCGGCAGCAGTTGGTGCGCAGGAAGAGGGGCAGTGCACCGTCTCTCCCTTCCACTCGCTTTCACCCATGAGACTCAACTGGGACGACTCACCATGTGAGCATGACGCTGCCCTGCGACACGAGCTCAAAGGGCTCTCTATCGAGGTACATGCGCGTGAGCAGGCGGCAGCAGTTGGTGCGCAGGAAGAAGGGCAATGCAGGGTTGAAGACGACCATGCGCAGCGTGGCGTAGTCCAGCCCGTACAGGTGGCTGTCCTCGATCAGCCAGTCGATGGCCTTGCGGTTGCGCTGCAGGCACAGCGTGCAGTACAGCTCCAGCGACACCACGTAGAACAGAAACAGCACCTCTGAAGATGGGCAACGGGGGTGGGGGGTGGGGGGTCGGGGGAGGTCAAGGGCGCGGGAGGAAGTGGGGATGGGGGTGGTGGTGGGGATGGGGGTGGTGGTGGGGATGGGGAGAAAGCGACGGAAAGGAAATGCTTCAAACCTGCTTATGCCGGTCAGCCCACATTCAGCCAGTGCCAGCCAGTGCCATGCTTCACGCCGCATGTCAGGGACCTACGTTGTGGAATGCATTGGATGGTAGAGCTCTGCCCTGATATATAGCAAGCAACTTCCAGAAAACCTAAACCGCCACATGAATGTACTAATGTAGCCCATGCCACCTTGCCCAGCGCAACACAAAAGCCCACGGCCACGCCACGCCTATGCAAGCCCGTGCCTAAGAAACACACACCCGGGCAGAACGTCGGGACTCGCACGCACCTTGTGGCATCCGGCGAATGGAGTCCGAGTGCGGCCCAAGCTGCTGCAGGTCCGCATACGCCTCACAGTCCACCTCCAGCCCATCCCAGCGCCTCAGAATCAGCGTCTGGCCGCCCCGGACCAGGCGGGACGGAGCAGGGCGGGCCTGCACAAGAATGTCTGCGTTCTCCCGGAGAATGTCCACGACGACGTTCTGGTTGGAGCGCACGGGAGCGCCCTCACTGCTGCAGATGATGTTGAGGAAGCGGATGTCCCGTGGGCGCTGGAACATGCGGCAGTTGGTCACGCGCTGCCGGATCTGATTGGGGAAGATGGGAGGGCGACAGGATTCGGATGGTTCTTCGGGTGCACTGATGCACCCCAAGTTTCTCTGCTCCTGTGTGTGTCTCTCTATTTCTTTATTTTTTTTCTTCTTTCCTTCTCTTAAAAAATAAAATAAAAAAAAATCTGCCTGTCGTCTACAAATCCCCAACGCTCCATCCAAAACTCCATTCCAAAACTACTGGTGCACAAGAAGTCGGCTCCAACGCCACCCAATCACACACCCCTTCCCAAACCCCTCACATTCTCCACAGTGACCCTTGATATAATCCTCTCGTTGTCCGCAAAGATCGCCATGATCGTCCCAGAAGTATAGATCTCGTTCCCCACCAGCTGGTCCAGCAGCGGCACGTAGGGCGCGAGCTGGTCCTGCCCGGGCCGAAACTGCTGGCAGGCGGCCTGCAGGAACCGGTTCATGAGCTTGCAGAGGCGGCGCAGGTCAAAGCCCTCGAAGAAGGTGTCGCAGTCGCTCAGGCAGCGCTGGGGCAGACCCTTGCTGATGAGCAGGATCTGCAGCACGGACACTACCACGGCTAGCACCTTCTGCTCGCTCACAAACACCTGGGAGAGAGGGGAAAAGGGGGCGAGCGGGAGGGATAGGGGGAGAGGGGGGGGACGTTTGAGTCGACTCATAAGTCACAGCGCTGGGGCAGACCCTTGCTGATGAGCAGGATCTCCAGCACGGACACTACCACTGCTAGGACTTTCTGCTCGCTCACGAAGACCTGAGAGGGACGGGGAGGGAGAGCATGGGAAGGATGGGGAGGGAGAGGGAGGGGTGGGTGGAGAGGGGAAGGTGGAAGCGCAGTATGGACTGGATGTACACCGGGCTTAGGGAGGTCACAAACTTTGACTTAAAAAAGGAAGAAAGAACAGAGATCTGCCAAGGCAGGGAGTGAGGGAGCAAGAGCACGAAGGCGATCAACTTGGCGAGGTTTCGTTGAACCTGAAACATGCGGTTGGAAGGGCGCTGAGGCTAGGCGCGTCAACCGTCTAGGTGTCTCAGACACACACCTCATATCTCCTGCTACTAGGCGTGGCGAACCTGGTAGGTGCGATTAGGCGGGCCCCTGAGGTTGAGCACATCGGGCATGTCGGATACGACCAGGCAGCGAATCAGCCGCTGCAGCTCCTCTGCCACCACGGGGCTGGAAGGGGCGAGCGAGGGGGTGAGCAGAAGAGCAAGGAGGCTATTTCTGTGGCACCTTATAAATAGGTATGTCAGAGACGACCAGACAGCGAAAGCGAATCAACTGTTGCAGCTCCTCTGCCACCACTGGGCAGGAAGGGGCGAGCGAGGGGAAGAGCATTAGAGCAAGGCGGCCGTGAAAGGAAGGGACGTGGAAGAACTCCCTACAGAAAGCCTTGCAGAATGGTTCTGGAATTGATGTCAAGAACAATGGCAAATAACAGGTACAGAGAGAATATGTGTGGAGTGAATGGTGAGCATAAGAGAGGAGGCGCATATAAAGGTGGGTGGACTTGAGCTCAACCAATGACCTGTCTGAGACATGCTTACCCATCCTTGAAGAGAACTTGTCGTAGATGGATTGCAGTCGGACTGCAGAGGCCTTATTTCCATCAAGTCTGTTGGTTTGGTTAGTTAGTACAACAAAACGAGCTCCATAGGGCGAGAATGCTTACCCATACTTGAAGAGCACTTGAATGAGCCCGCTGGTACGGATGCTGAAGGCGCGAACCATGTGGAGCAGGAGAGCATGTAACAAAGGGAAAGAAGACGACATTCAACAAAGGGGGACGCACACAAAGGGGGTGGGGGAAAGAGAGGCAGCACATGGTGTGAACATGAAGAGTGGGGTGGGGGGATGTGTAGCTGCAGGGGGCAGGATAAAACAAGTCGACAGGAAGAGCACCTGACATCGTGGCAAACGAAACGTCACATAAACCAGCAGTCATGGGGGGCTTACCTGGCTGGTGGTAAGTGCGACACACCTGGTCGTAACTCATGTGTTCGAGGCGTGGCTTTAAGAGTTTGGCTCATTCGTACCTCGCCTTGAGCACCTCGTCGTCAGTGCAGTCGTCTATGGGGTCAATGTCGTCCAGAGCCAGCACAAAGTTCTTTAGCGAGCGCGTGGAGTCACTCTCCTGTGCACGGGGGGAAGAGGAGGAAAGAGGGGGGTGGAAGGAGGGGGGCGGGGAGGGGGTAGAGAGCAGACGAACGAAGTGGCGATGGAAGGGTTGAGAGGGAAGCAGGAAACGGAAGGGGAAAGGCAGGTTGTTTTAGGGGGGAGGGGGGGGAGGAGGCAGATCATAAGGCGGGGAGGGAAGGAGAGTGCAGGGGCGAAGAGGGGAACAGAGGGGAGGGCAAAGGAATGGCAGTGGAGTGCAACATACCGTGAGGATGAGGTTAACTGCAGCTGGAGGGGCACCCTCAAAGACAAGCGCATCCTGTCGTGTGGTGATGACAAGAAAAAAGGAATCAGACGCAAGTGGAAACGGGAAAGATTTGTGAAGCACCTAGGAAGGGAGGGAGGAGAGGGGAGGGAGAGGGAGGAGAGAGGGGGTGAGGGGAGGAGGGAGGAAGGGAGTGGGTGAATGAACGGGAGGGTGTTTCTTTCAACCATCGATTCTTGAATCAGGATCTAGACGGAAAAGAACCAAGCCACTATCCAATCCACCAATACGTTCCACGTGCATCATCCAGCAGTCCCCCTTCCCCAACAGCCCGTGTTGTCACCCCCCCCTCCCCTCCTCCCCTCCTCCCCTCCTCCCCTCCTCTCCTCCTCTCCCCTTTTCTCACCCAAACGCTGCACCCACCCCTCTTCACCCACAGTTATAACACACCTTCTGGTCCCACACGGACGTGAGCCCAGCAGGACGCCTCCCCATAAGCGCCTCCTCCTCCTCCTCCTCCCCCCCATCCCCATCCGCATCCGCATCCACACACGCTGCTGACACAAAACCCGACGACCCATCAGCAGCTGACGCCGCCGAGCCAACGGCGCCAACCGCCGCAGCAGCAGCAGCGGCGGAAAACGACGAGGCGAAGGACAACGAGCCTGCAGCCGGCCCCGCCGCCCAGCGCGCCTTGTAGTAGTCGCCGCTGCCGCCCGACATGAACCCGTGCAAGCCATGGCACTGTATAAGCGTGTGGTAGGGGATCACGTGGCGCTCGTGCCCCTGCCCCACTGCCCCTATCCGCCACATGGTGCCTGGCTTCTTGTATAGCTCTGTCACTCCCACCATGCCCCTGTGTGATTGTAACAAGAGGGGTTCAACAGGGCGGTTAAAGCGAGGTTCAGGCAGGGATATGTCACAGGTGGGGGTTAAAAGGGGTTATATATATTACACACCCTGCTTGGCTTCTTGCATAGCTCCGTCACCCCCGCCATGATGAATGATAGCAAGGTAGGAAACGCATAACAGGTGCCATGCTCAGCGACCTGACATCCTCACTCACACCATCAGCTCGCTTAGCATAACAGGGTTATTATCAGCTCCCAGCCCCAGTGAACCTACATGAGCACTGTTGTAGACCCTATCAAAGGACCTCCTCCTTGCAGCCCACCTGGACTCCTCCTTGACATCCGTCCTATCTATCCAGCTGAAATCCTCCATCCAACCAAACGCAACTGAAAGCCAACCCCCCCACACCTGAAGTCCTCTCCCCGCATGTCGAGGCACGAGTTGGAGTGGGCCAGTCGCCTGGACTCCAGATACAGGCCCGTGGCCAGGTGCTTCAAGTGGAACGGCTGTCACACAGGGACGGGCGGGCAGGCGGACGGGAAGCAGATTAAATAGGCACCTCAGAATCGGCCTGTTGCCAGGAGGTGATTCGTGTGGAACAGCTGAGACAGAGGGCGATGGGTGAGCAGGTGGTTGGTGAGCAGGGGACAACATGGGTTCGGCAGGGAAAGGAAAGGGAAAACCAGCAATAACTGGCGAGGGGAGAGGGGGGGGGGGGGGGGGGGGGGTTGCAGTATATGGCAGGGATGGGGCCTTATAAGTAGAGTGGCTGCGGCACGCAGATTGGGAGAGCAGGGGGGGCATTGGAAAGTGGGTGGAGAGGGATGGAGGCAGCAGGCAGATGGGACGGGGACAGTTAGCCAGAGGAAAAGGAGCGAGCACGAGCACCCAAGAGGGCGAATTTGTTGCTCCATTCACCAGAAAGGGACCTGCAGCCTCAGAGAAGATATTCAATTCAAACCCTTCCATTCCATTCCACCCCTCCCCAAGCCCCACCCCATCCCACTCACCCACCCTCCTTCCCCTCGTGCTCACCTGGTCTCCAGAGGCGAATCTGCCGCCCCATTCAACAGACAGCGGCTGCAGGCGCCAGAGCGCGTTGGAGCTGACCCTTCCCCCAGGCTCAGTCTGCGCGCGCGCCTCAAAGAACACCTGCCCCTCGTCGCACACGAGGTGCATCTCACTCGCCCTGTGCGTCACCACCACTGCGTCGCTGCCTCTCAGCAGGTGCCTCGCATTCGGCAGCTTGCTCTCGTGGAGAGCGTAGGGTATGAGCTTCCACCGCCCCACCTCTGGCCCTGCGTTCACCTGCACACGCACACACGGGTTTTGAGACGTCTCAAAACGAAATTACTATCATGCGTTGGGCAGCTTGCTCTCATGTAGCGCGTACGGAATGAGCTTCCACCGCCCCACCTCTGGCCCTGTGTTCACCTGCACGCACGGGGAATGGGAGGAAGAGTGTGGATGGGCCTGAAAGGCAAACTGTCCTTGGTAGACTTCTTGGAGTTGAAGCTGCAGGCATGGTTAGTAGTAGCAAGGCAGCTCATAGCAAGCGCTCTTTCCCTCTTCCGCAAACCCTCGACCCCCTCCCAGCTCCCACCTCTCTCCTTTCTGGCAGGCCAGCCGCTCACAGTTAGCCCTTACAATCTCCTCCTTAGGGTTAACCAAACCCACCCCAGCACCACAGCAACTCCCCCTCCTGTGCTCACCTCTCTAGAGTCGATGACGTAGGGATGACAGCCGGACACGGTGACATCAAAGGACGCATCGGAAAGACGCAGCCTGCAGGGAAGGCGCATGGAGAGAAGGGGGGGGGGGAGGGAAGACGAGGGATGGTGTGGTGGAAATGAAACGGCAGGAACATCGAAAAGGTGTAGAGGCAGCGAGTGGGGTGAAGATTACAAGAGTTTCGGGAGAAGGGGATGCTTGATGCGGATGAGAAAAAGACATGAATAGAAAGAGATTGGCATCTGAACAAGACAAAAGATCGAAGAGCTAACCTGCTCCAAGTCTGAGATGCTTCTTGAGGTGTTCCACTCAAGCAAGAAAACAAAAAAAGGTACATCCCTCCCGTATTTATATCAAGGCAAAGGCCTCTCCAGGCGCTTCTCTAACCCTCTCCGTGCCCACCGTTGCGTTACCCGGCTCCAGAGAACTTGACACTCATGAACGTTGCAGCATCCCCAAACGCCACGTGCTCGCCCTCCCGCTGACGTGCACACACCAAGCAGCGAGAAGGGGGGGGGGAGGAGGGGATGGGCCAGCAAGAGGGGACGAGGGGTGGAGAGGAGAAGAGATTTAGCAACAAGATTTAGCGAGCAAGAAGAGTGATCCACAGCTAAATCTTTGTCATGCACAACCCAAATGACATGACATGACATGACATGACATGACATGAAACCAGCCATCCTGCAAAGTGTTGCACCAGTGCCATGCCCTGTGTCACTCACCTTGATCTTGTAAGCGGGCGTGACAGTGAACCAGGAGCCCATGTCTCCGCGCCTCTGGAGCACGACCTTGAGGTGCGACTTCTCCAGCTCTGACTGCGTCCGCTTCACACTCACGAACTTGCCGCTGCTCACGTGGAACAGCTGCACCACGTGCCCGTAGAGGACAGGGCTGCCCACCGACCGAAGGAACTCAGCTGCGGACAGACGGGGCAGAAGGAACGCGGGACGGGGAGAGGAGGTGGGAGGCGTCTCAAAACACGATTATTATCACACACTCACGAACTTGCCAGTGCTCACGTGGAACAGCTGCACCACGTGCCCATACACCACGGGGCTGCCCCACCTACCGGAGAAAATCAGCTGGGAGGCGCAGAGGGAAATAGGAAAGGAGTCGCAGGAGGGGAATGGTGAAAGAGTTGCGGAGCGTGCTTGAGGAAATGCAAATGGTGCAGGGAAAAGGGAGCGAGCATTGATACTTGTGAGTCCCAGAGAAGTGATGGCTGGCGGTGGCTTCTGAAAGCAGTGGACTGAGTGTGGGAACGAATAGTGCAGGACAGAGTGAGCCCCTCAATACAGAAGATCGTTTGGGAGAGATCAAGAGGGGCAATAAGGAACATAACTTGGCGCTAGCTGGGGTTGTCTCAAAAGGGGACAAAATATCTCACCGTTGTTGAAAGCTTGCTCTGCTTTCTGGAGGCTCTCACTCTGATGGACACGGGGCAGCAAGTGAGGGGGAGAAAGAGATAGGGGACTTCATGGGGAAGGGGATAGACAGGAGAGTGTTCAGTTCAGGGTAACAAAAAACAGGGAGAAAAAGCTGGAGCGGGTAAGTCAATCGGAGCATAAGAATAATCAACAAGATAGAGAAGGTAGCAACACAGCAGAAACGTCTCTCGCATATTGCAATGTCCCTCAGTAGTATTGCAACGTCTCTCTCTCAGCATAGCAACGTCCCTCACTTCCTGCAATGACTCTCAGTTTCCGCAATATTCTCTCAGTGCTAGATCTGCCTCTTGACTCCTGCTCTGCTCCCCCTGCTGTACCTCACTGCTTGTCTGGGCTGCAACAGCGCCTCCAGAGGAGAACATGAATCCTCCTCCTGGTGCTGGGGAGCTGTCAGAGCCTTCCTTCTTCTGCTTGTGAGACGAGTACTGGTACTTGATACGGACCTGCGAGGCGGAAGAAAGTCCCATGTTAGCGACACAGAGGCAAGACACAGCGGCAACGGCAAGACAAGATGGTCTTATGTGAGCATGACAGATCTCCTGTCAGTCCATTGCAGACTTGAGCATCAGGTAGCCTGGCGAATTGGAATGATCATGTGAGCCATCCGTGGCATCGTCAGAATTCGTCAATGCCATGACAACTTCATGGCAACATCATCACCTCTCGATACTATCATCTCCCCTCGGTATACTTGTAACATATTGGTATTATCATAAGTCCTCAGGTTCATCGTTCCAGGTGAGTAGGCCTCTGCAATCATTCACCGGTCCTAGAGGCCGAGAGGCTGAGATGGTGCGATAAGGTGGATATAAAACACACAACAGAGACCTCGGCATTGCTATTGAGTACCTCGAATTTACAGAAGTCCAGATTAGGCGGAACCTCCGTGCCATCGTCAAGAATCTCGAACCGAACCCGTTCGTCGATCAGGCCTGACGACGAGAGAAGTCCGTTCAGCTCGATTCCCGCCAAGCACACGGTGTCACCGTACGTCAGCTTATCGCCAGCGGACATCTTCACGCGCGCGCTGACGTGGAATCAGTCTATAAGGAGGACGGTATTTACGACTAGACAGGCTCATTAAGTCAGTATACACATGAGGGACCCTGAAGCTCGCATGTTGGCACGCGAGTTGGAGTAACATGTCATGAAAGGCTTCTATTTATTGGATCAACATCACTGTCGCTCTAGTTCCATTGTCACCCCGCTATGATCATACTGATCCGTCTTCCATATTTCTGGTCTGACTGCACTGCAGCCACCAAATCACTGATGGTCCATCCTGAGTCAAATCATTGTCGCATCAGGAAAATGCCTTCCCCACAGCAAAACTGCACTTGGTGATTCAAATACCAGGACGGACAACGAACCTACAATACTGTATATCGTTCAACACGTTTCCGTACCACATCTGGACATTACTATTTAGTATACACAGCAAGACGGACCTGCTTATTGAAAATAACTCAAAGTTGCTGCATTTTTTCATCAATTAAAATTTTATTTAAATAATGAAGAGGTCAAAACCCTTTTGAAATATAGTAAGGTGATTAAAGTACAAACATACTAACAATTTTTCACAAACATACAAACACCAAACTAACCAAGGCTAGTGGTGTAGTGTAAGGAATTCTGCCTGTCTGGCAAAATACCCTCAACTCAACCGTCGGGCAGTCGTTCAGGCTGATCTGGCGCCAGCGTGATCCAGCTTATCGCAACACCAGCATCACTGCGCTGTCAAAAAAGCAGGGACAACGGGGTCACACGAGCCAATCAGAGCTCCGCCTGTCTGGGTTACCCGATGTAGCTCTCCCTGCTGTACATTGACACGCTGGCAGCAACATCGTCAAGATGCCCGTCGCCTCGCCGAGAGACAAGGGCGACGACAGGTCATCATGATTGCAGCAAAACTGCGATTGGTTGTTGCACCCTTGACAGCCCTGTACGACGACGTGTAGTTGGTCGTTCACGTCGCAGAAATAGGGATGATCGCACCATGAGTAGCCCTGCTGTCAAGCCAACCAACCTGAATAACTGAACTTATGTTCCCGAGGGCGTGTCCCAAGCGTACGCCCCATTGCGGTTGAGTGAGCTGGTTTGCGTTTCGAAAGAACTAGATAGTTCTGTAAAACGGTTCGGTAGGGTAATTGCGGAAAACGAATGCTTCCCTGAATCAAGAACTAGCCCAGCTGAGCTAAAGTTCGGTAAGGTTTCCTCCACAGTACTCCAGTACTGTTCTTTTCCTTCCCTAGTGGCCATTAGTTCCTAATAGCCGTTCACGCTTCCATGCTCGCATCGTGCTGACTATTGCCTTGTAAAAGAGAAGCGTCTAATGACACACGCTTAAGGGCGAATCGCCTATGGCGTGCGGCAGTGTCCGCAAGGTGGGGAAAAGGGGTATTTGATGGCTGGTAGGGAATGTTTTTTTATGTTTCTCTCGTTTTTTCCCTTTTTATGAGGTTTTCCTGGGGTTATTTTTCCCCTTTTCTGTCTCAATGGTCTCCTGACCAATTCAGTCACATTCAACGTAAAGTACACGCTCTGCAACCCTTTGCACAAATCCGCATTCCTGTCATTCTCAACTTTTTCTCAGCTTTATTGGTGGCTGTGCGAGATAATGCTGACTAGGTAAAAAATCAATCCACGCCCACCCCCCCCCCCCCCCCCCCCCCCCAAAAAAAAAAACCCACTTCCCTGTTTTCTCACGTCCTCTGGGTCATCCCGCGTCCCCTGTCCTGTCTTTCCTGTCCCGTTCACCAGGCCCTCACAGATCTCACACCGCCTCCCGCGCTGATACAACGCCGTGAAGCCGCGGACCTCCCGTCAGCTCTCTGCTCTCGTTACCGTGTCGCAGCTTCTTGCGCAACACCTGCGGGAGCTCGCGTAGGACGAACCCAGCCGCGGCGAGGCTCTGGTTGACTTGACCCTCTTTTTGCCACGGTGGTTAAGGGAGCGGGGTGCTACGTCGCATGACGCCATCTGCCAGGGGTAGGAGTGAGGGCCAGTCATGGCCGCCACCAGATACCACCTCCACCAATCCCACCAGCGCCACCAGAAACGGCACCACCACCAGCGGCGCCAGCAGCAACGGCGGCAGCAGCAGCGGTACCTTTCCCGCCACCTCCTCCCCCACCGACACAGCCACAGCACCGCCACCACCAGCGCCGCCGCCGACGGTGACGGCGGAAAACCCAGAGGTCGCGACACACTCTGGAGAAGGCGAATGGGATGTCATCCGAGGGGACCCGAGTTCCTTAATTTCCGCTCTACTGCCCGAACCAACCAATCGTCTCTTGGAGAATGCAACGGCGTTCCTTGGGGATTTTGCCTCCAGAACTGGCCAGGTTTTTTCGGGAGCGACCGTTCTCGACCAGCCTGACGCTGCCACGTGTCCCATTTCGAGATTACCAGATGACGTATTGCACTACATCTTCTCCCTGGTTCAGCGGCATAACTCCGTGCATTCTCCCTTCCACTCGCTGCTCTGCCCTCGCTCGCACTACCACTCTCCCTCTCACTCTCACTCCCATTCCCACTCCCACTCTCTCTCCCACTCCCCCGTTCACTCCCCCTCGCACTCCCCCTCGCACTCCCCCTCGCACTCCCCCTCGCACTCCCCCCCATGCTGCTGCTGTTGCGCCTTCCTCCCCTGCCCCCTTCCCCCTCCCCCTTCCCTCGCCCACGCGCTCGTGTGCCGCGCCTGGCTCCCCCTCGCTTGCCACTCCCTCGTCTCCGCCTGCCTTCCCCCCAGCGCGGGGCTCCCCCTGCGCGCGGTGCTCCGCCTGCTCCGCCAGTGCCGCGAGCTACGCAGTTTGATAGTCCCGCCGGGGAGCATTGTATGGCGGCGGAAGGGGGGGAGGCGGGGGAAGGGAGGGGCGGCGTCGGGGGCAGGCGGAATGTGCAGGGGAGGGGGAGGGGCAGGAGAAGGCGGAGGGGAAAGGGGAGAAGGAGTGGCGGGGCGGAAAGCGGGGTGGAGCGGGGTAGCGGAAGTAGGGCATGAGAGGGAGATAGTTGCCTCTGGGGGAGCGGGGGAAGGAACTGTCGCGGAGGTATCAGCGGGAGGACCAGCGGCGGCAGCTGCGGTTAAAGAGGCAGGGAGCGGAATAGGGGGAGGAGAGGGGGAATGGTGGCGGGTTAGGGGAGAGCTGGGGGAGCGGATGAGGGGAGAAGATGGGGTGCGATGGGGAAGCGAGCATGTGTGGGGGGGGCATGGGGAGGAGAGCGGGATGTGGTCGGGCAGTGGCAGGCTTACTCCGTGCATCTCCTTCCCTCACGTTAATTCACCCCACACTGGACACATCGACCTCTGGCGTTCCGCGCTACCTAACCCCAACCCAGACCCGAACCCTAACGCTAACCCTAGCCCAGCCACTCCCCTCTCCCTTTCCTCTCCCTCCTCGGCCCGCCCATGGCCTTCATTCCCGTTCTCCCCTCCTCCGACACCCTCCAACGCCCATAGTAGCCCGTGCAACATCTCTTCTCCCTCTTCTCCTCCCTACTCCCCTTCCTCTCCCTCCTCTCCCTTCCTTCCGCCTCCTCCCCCTCCTCTCGCATCCTGTTCTTTTTCTCTTCTCCCCCACACGACCCACTCGGGTAACCACCATCATAAGCACCACCAGCACCACCACAACCACAGCCATCGCCAGATTCCCCAGGACCCTCTCGACCTCTTCTTCTCCCGCCTGTCCTCCCTGCCTCTCCTCTCCCACCTCTCCCTCCTCTCCCTCCCGGCCTCATTCCTCTCGCTGCCCGACTCCATCTCCAAGCTCTCCTCCCTGCGCTCTCTCCGCCTCGGGCAGCTTACACGGGCAGCTGAAGGTGAAAATTCCGGCGTACCTTGCAGCAATGGCTTAGCATCAGCGTTGGACCTTCTGGCGCCAGCAGCCCAGCCGCTGCTGCTGCAGGCTCTGCAGCAGCAGAGCACCACCAGTAGCAGGAGCAGCAACAGCGGTGGTTGCAGTGACAGCAGCAGTGGTGACGGCGGCTGTCAGCTGGTGTTTCTCCCAGACGCTCTAGGGTTGCTGACTCGCCTAGAGGAGCTGTCGGTGGGCAGCGATGCTCTCGAGTGCCTGCCGGACTCCGTTCAACGGCTGGCCTCCCTGCACTGCCTCTCCCTCTCCTCTCCCATGCTTTCATCAGCCCAGTTCCTCACTCCTATCCCGTCCCCACCACCACTATCACCAACGACAGCAACAGGCGCAGTAGCAGCAGCAGGAGGAGGAGGAGCAGGAGCAGGAGCAGGAGCAGGGGCAGGGGCAGCAATAAACAACCCCCTCCAAACTCCCATGCTCCCCACTTTCCCACGCCTCTCCACTCTCTATCTCGACACGCCAAGCCTGTTTTCTCTCCCTGATCAACTTGCACTCAGCTGCCCGTCCATGAAGTTTCTCCATCTAATTAACTGCCAAAATCTTTCGTACCTGCCCGCCACCATCCACCAGCTGTCCCAATTGGAGCGCCTGGAGCTCCTCAACTGCACGGGAATTTCGTACCTGCCCAGCAACTTGGGCAGCCTGGAACGTCTCAAGTGGCTGGCTCTGGGGTGTCCAAATGTTTTGACGCTCCCCGATTCCCTTGGATCGCTGATTGAGCTGCGCCACTTTTTCCTCCTCTCCTCTGGCTGCTCCAGGCTGCCTACAAATTTCGGGCAGAAGCTGACAAAACTCAAAACGCTTGCCCTTTCCAAGTGCAGGGACTTGCTTGAGCTGCCCGTACATCTCGGGCAGCTGGAAAGACTCAAAACCCTTTTCATTTCTGACTGCTGGCGGCTGCAGCGGCTGCCCAAGGGATTCTTCTCCCTGCCCATGCTGCGAACCCTAATCATATACCAGTGCGACGCACTCAACATTAAAGCTGAAACTTTTGACCACTGCCCACAGCTGCGCTTTCTGAGCCTTGAATTCTGCCCGTCCCTTCCCAGCCTCCTCTACTCCATCATGACCCTCCCCTCTCTCTCGAGACTCCGACTCCGTCCCTTCAAGCACTCAAACCTCCACGATAAAAGCATCATCTGCCATCTCTCTGTGCTCGATCTCGCACACTTCCAAGGGCTGCCCGAAAACTTATGTGCTCTGACTGGCCTCCGGGCGCTCCATTTTAACGATGTGACCAAGATTCCGCACCTGCCGCCCAGTTTTAACCACCTGACGGCGCTCAAAGTGCTCACCTTCGAATTTTGCGACATTGTCGTCCTGCCCGCTGAGTTCGGGCAGCTGAAACATCTTGAGCTGCTGAGCTTCCAGGAGTGCCCGCATTTGAAATCTTTCGGGCAATCGTTTGGACTGCTACCTAATCTCGCTATTCTCATAGCCTCTAAGTGTCCATCCCTCCTCTCCCTGCCACAAAACATTGGGAAATTGCGCTCTCTGCGCAAGCTCGTAATTTCAGACTGCCCGAACCTGCGGGGCCTGCCAATGTCCTTCAGCTCTCTGACCAACCTTGTGCTTCTTAAGCTGCCCGAGGGAGATGACGTGAAGCTGCCCGAAAGCCTTTCACACTTGACAGCACTACAACGCCAGGAACAGCAGCAACATCAGCAGAGCAGCGGAGAGGGGGGAGCGGGGTCTGCATGTGTGCAGCAGTCACTGCAGGCAAGGGAGGGATGTGGAGGAGGAGGAGGGGGAGGAGGAGGGGGTGGAGAAGGAGGAAGGAGTGGGCATAGGGGGAATGAGAGCTTCCTGCACCTGCGCAAGTGGCTGGTGAGTGCAGCTCCCACTGTCTGCTTAACCTTCTGCCAGCCTGTCCGCTTGCCCGCCCGCCTTCCTGCCTGCCTGCCCGCCCGCCCACCTGCCTGTCTGCCGCTCCGCCCGTCTGCCTGCCTGCCTGCCTGCCTGCCTGCCTGCCTGCCTGCCTGCCCGCTTGCATTCCCGCCCACCCATCTGCCTTCCCACCCGCCCACCTGGCCGCCTGCCTGCTTCTCAATCCTTGACTGCGTGCCTGCCTTATGGTGTGTGTGCCTTCCCTTGGGTCGACTCGTCTCATGGTGCCCTTCATGTTTGCACATCACCCATGCACATCACCCACTCATGCTCCCACTGCCTTCCTACCCCTCCGTGCCTCTCCCACTCGCTAATGTTTATCCCGTCTCCTGTCACCATACGTGCCATTCCATACTGTCCCATCCACCCCATATGCCCCACCTGCCACATCTGCCCCATCTGCCACATCTGCCCCACAACATAACACATCCACCCATCTACCACCACCACCCCATCTACCCATGCCATGGTGTGTGCAGGAGTTCAGTCCGGTAGAGCGCACCATGAAGCGGTTTGAGGAGGCATTTGACAGTGACTCGTGACTTGTGACTCGTGCACACCCCTGACACGCACCTGACGCATACACGCCTAACACCCGCCTGCAAGTCTGCAAGCACCATTCTCACAGACACTATCCAGCACTGTGGTCCGAACCGAACGGCATTCTCCTTTACTCGTGACACTGGAAAATCGCATTCACGTGACATTACGCTGTGTTACACAGCACAGCATCAACGCTAGGGTCATTGATCAGACGAAATCCGTCTGATGGTCTGAAAAACAGACCGTTTTTTTGTGTTTTGTCTGATATTTTGATGGGCCAAAACATTTCGTTTGAACATTCAGAAATGGTTGAAGTTTCCATCTGAATTTTTAGACACTGTAGAGCTTTGTCTGAGATTTCAGACCAGGGCCTCAGATTACAGGCTTTTTACCCTGATTCAGGGTAAAATCAGGGTGTTTTTTAGGGGTGACCCTGATGAGACAGGGTTTTTTTTTAACACGGACCTGAAATTTCAGCGTTGTTTTAGAAGTGAACCCTGATCGATCAGCGTGCCTAGTGTAGTGAGGCCTGTTTTTCCAGTGTCGCATTCGGGACCGACCCTGATACTGGTAAGGGCGTGGTACTTAGGCAAAACATGCCCAAGTTGCGTAATTCGCGAAATCCGTCCTGGTGAGCGCAACCCGATGCTGGAACCTCGGATTGCGCTTTTCGGGCGGGAATCACAACTCATTTAAAACATCGGGTTGCGCTCGAAGAATACGAAGTGCCAAAAATGGAACACCAAACATCCGTTACCATACCGTATTTCTGGAGCGAAATCAGTTTTCGCATTGTGATTTGCTGCTTTTGGGCGTACCGGCGCGAAGCCAGCAACCCGCGTTGCGCATGTCTCTCAGTCTGTTTGCCAAATTGTTTGACGATATTCACGAAAACCGATACTTCCGTGAATTGCGCAACTCGGCCAAGTTGGGCAACCCTGATTTTGCCAAAGTACCACGCCCTAATAGCGGATTTCGAGCCCCAGCCCCCCCACCCGTGATTTCCGTGATTTCCCCATCCACCCCCCCTGTCAGTCATGCCAACTTGACTGTGACCGACCAAGACTGTGATCATGACCTGTAACAAATAATGGCATGTGGTACTTATTTGAACAGCGTGCTTTCTGTAGTTGAGCCTGTTTCTTCCGCGCAATTTTCTTACAATACCCTGATTGATCAACGTAAAATTTGTTGAGAGGCCTGAAAAAACAGGGAGCTGAAGCGGGAGGACCATGAGCGATCAGCGTGCCCCAAAACGAACTTGAGGCCCTGTTTCACATACAGCGCGAATCTTTTCGTCTGAGACGTTCCTGTCAACTTATACATATGTTCTATGTAGAAGTTATAGGCTAGACTAGGTGTGTGCTTCTAGTGAGTACAACCCAACAGGTATATGTTCTAGGTTTCTCCTTCTAGTGATTATTCACTTATTCTAACATGGTATCGACTAGGTTAGGTCCCCCCGCCCGCTTCCGTCCGCGCCCTAGTCTCTCGCCCGCCCTTAGCCGGCCCCCTGGCCGTCGCGTCCGCCCCTAGTCGGCCCCCTGGCCGTCGCGTCCGCCCTTAGCCGGCCCCCTGGTCGTCGCGTCCGCCCCTAGTCGGCCCCCTGGCCGTCGCGTCCGCCCCTAGCCGGCCCCCTGGCCGTCGCGTTCGCCCCTAGTCGGCCCCTTGACCGTCGCGTCCGCCCCTAGTCGGACCCCTGGCCGTCGCGTCCGCCCCTAGCCACCCCCCTGGCCGTCGCGTTCACCCCTAGCTGGCCCCGTGGCCGTCGCGTCCGCCCCTAGTCGCCCCCCTGGCCGTCGCGTTCGCCCCTAGCTGGCCCCCTGGACGTCGCGTCCGCCCCTAGTCGGCCCCCTAGCCGTCGCGTCCGCCCCTAGCCGGCCCCCTGGCCGTCGCGTAAGCCCCTAATCGGCCCCTTGACCGTCGCGTCCGCCCCTAGTCGGCCCCCTGGCCGTCGCGTCCGCCCCTAGTCGGCCCTGGCCGTCGCGTCCGCCCTCAGCTGGCCCCCTGGCTGTCGCATCCGCCCCTAGTCAACCCCCTGGCCGTCGCATCCGCCCCTAGCTGGCCCCCTAGCCGTCGCGTCCGCCCTCAGCTGGCCCCCTGGCCGTTCGCGCCCGCTCCTAGCCGGCTCCCTGGCCGTCGCGCCCGCCCCTAGCTGGCCCCACTGGCCGTCGCGCCCGCTCCTAGCTGGCCCCCTGGCCATCGCGTCCGCCCTCAGCTGGCCCCCTTGCCATTCGCGCCCGCTCCTAGCCGGCCCTCTGGCCGTTCGCGCCCGCCCCTAGCTGGCCCCACTGGCCGTCGCACCCGCTCCTAGCCGGCCCACTGACCGTCGAGCCCGCTCCTAGCCCGCCCCAGCAGCACCTGCCCGGCCTCTTCCTAGCGCCGCCCGGCCTCTCCTACCGCCCGCCAGTCCCAGTGCGCCCGCCCGGCCTTGTCACGCCTGCCCGGTTTTCAGCGCCAGCCCGCCCCCTCCTCATGCATGCCTGGCCCCTCCTCGTGCCTGCTCGGCCTGCCGTGCCACCTCGGGCCCCGTGTCCTCTGCTAGCCCGCGCCGGGGCGCCCCGCACCCGCCCTACTGGAGAGTGCTGCCGCCGTGTCCCCGTGCCGCTGTGCTCCTGCCGAGCTGTGGAGCTGTGCCGCTGTGTTGCTGAGGGGCTGTGTCACTGACCCTGCACGATGGCTGACTTCGTGCTCCGCCTGGACGCTGAGGGCCACGCGGTTGCCTTCGTCGCCTGGCTCTCCGATCTCCGCCGTCAGCTTACAGGTCAGCGTCAGGATGGCCACTCGCTGGTTGTCCATGCTGATGGCTTGCTCCCCCGCCCCCCTGCACCTGCTCCCCTCCCTGCTGACCCCACCTCCGCTGAGAGTGAGGCTTTCTCTACTGCTGCGCTTGCCTGTGCGGTCTGGGACTCCAGCGATGCAATGGCTCAGGTTGCTATCAGTCACGCCCTCCCTGTGTCTGAGCGCTCGCATTTCGCTACAGTTGATACGGCCAAAGCTTATTTAGACGCTGTTATTGCTCGCTATTCCACACCTGCATCCGCTTCTGCCGGCCGCCTGCTCTTCCCGATGCTGTTCCCAGACCTTGCTGCCTTCCCTACTGTCGCAGACTTTGCAACTCACTTGCGTGCCCTAGAGACTCGCTATCGCACTGCCAGCACTGCTGCCCAGCTCACTGCGCTCCCCCCCCCATTCTGCATGATCCTCTATTTTATCGCCATGCGCCTGCCGGACTGCCTAGCTAGTGCCCGCGATCGCTTCCTTAGCCATCACCCAGGTGACCTCACACTGACCGCCTTTGTCGACACCCTCACCGAGATCAGGACGCGCCAGCGCACTATCGCTCAGTCGAGCGGTGCGCCTGCAGTCTCTATCTTTCACGGCTGTGCCCCCTCCCAGTGCACGTTTACTGACGTTTCGGCTGCGGTCGCCATTGCGACCCCTCTTACCGAGACGGCAGCTGCGGTCCACCCACAGCAGCGTTCGCGCCGCGGTGGCCGTGGCCGCCAGGGAGGTCGTGGTGGTGGCACTAGTGGTGGTGGTAGTGGTGGTGGTGACGGTAGTCCACCTGAGGGGACTACCACCGGTGGGCAGGAGCAGACGCAATCGCCTTCGCAGCCGGAGCAGCCCCAGCAGCAGCCGCCGCCGTCCCAGCAGCAGCCGTCGCAGCCGTGGGCTCGTCTCCCACCTGGTTGGCCAGGCACCTCCGGCGGTGGTGGCTGAGGTGGTGGCCCGCGCAGCTTGGCATCTATCGGCAGCTCCGTGCTGTGACCTGCCAGTACCAGCTTCAGACCGGGCCTCTCCGCGGCACTCTGTGCCGCTGCCCGCACCCGACTGCCCGCTGTTTCCGCCGCCTCGACGATCTCCTTCGTCGTCGCTTTGGCCCGGCCTCGGACCTCCCCGACTGGCACAGCCTGCTTCGCCAGGACGTGCCGATCTTTGAGTTAGATATGGATCAGATAGGTGCTGCTTTGCATGCTTTGTATGCTGACGCTTCTAGTGTTGCTGGATCTAATTCCCCTGTGTACTCTAGTTTAGGTGTCTCACCCTTGTGTAGCTTAGCCTCCTCTGCTGTGTCAGGCGTAGGACTGCCTAGTTTGCCTAGCCTAGGTTCTGCACCGGCTCCGTTCCCAGCCTCCGCCACTGCCTCGCTGTCCTTTACTCTCGACTCCAGTGCTTCTGCTTGTTTCTTCCGCGACCGCTCCACGCTTACGCTGCTTGCTGAGCCTGCTGTTGTCTCTCTCGCTGACCCCTCTGCGGGTCCCGTCGTCGCTCGCAGTTCCACGTCCCTTTCCTGTTTAGCAGTTCCCTCGGGCTTTCTTACAGGCCTCCACGTTCCCTCGTTCTCGAGGAACCTGGTTGGTGTCGGCTGTCTTCAGGACCTCGGCGTCACCACTACGTTCCCCGGGCACGAGCGGTTCGCTGTCTGTTCTGAGGCTGTCTCAGGTTCCCCACTTGCTACGTTCCCCCGGGACCCGGCGTCCGGACTGTTCACCCTAGACACCGCTTCCCCCCCGGTTGGTGCGTCCTCCCAGGTCGCTGCAGCTTGCTCGTGTCGGTCCCTCACTCACCCGTCTCTTTTGTGGCACCACCGCCTAGGTCACCCTGCTCTCCCGCGTCTGCGTCACATGTCTCAGCACGGTCTTGTCTTAGGCCTCCCCGCATCGCTCCCCGCCCTTCCCCTCTCGCCTGCTCCACCGTGCACGCCCTGCGTCGAGGGCCGGCTCCGCCGTGCCCCTCACTCCTCCTTGCTTCGCCCTGCTACTACTCCCCTTCAGACCTTGCACCTGGACGTTTGGGGCCCAGCCCCCGTCCCCGGACCGCGTGGCGAGCGCTACTTTCTTGTGGTTGTCGATGACTACACGCGCTACACCATGGTGCTTCCCCTGGAGCGGAAGGCCGACGTGCCCGACGTTCTTCTTCCGTGGGTTGTGGCTGCGCGTCTTCACTGCGATCTCCCCGTGTTGTGTCTCCACTCTGACCGTGGCGGCGAGTTCGCTTCTGGTCGGCTTGGACAGTTCTGTCGTGCGGAGGGCATCACCCGGTCGTACACCTTGACGGACTCGCCACAGCAGAATAGGGTTGCTGAGCGCCGCATCGGCTTGGTCATAAAGGTGGCTCGTACCTCCATGATCCATGCCGGTGCACCCCATTTTCTGTAGCCGTTCGCCGTTCGCTACGCCGCTCACCAGCTTAACTTGTGGCCACGCTCCCAGCGGCCGCAGGTTTTGCCGACCCTCCTTTGGACTGGGTCCCCCGGTGACGCGTCTGCGTTCCACGTCTGGGGCTGCCTTGCTCACGTTCGTGCCTCTGGCACGGACAAGCTCACTGCCGGCACTGTCCCCTGTGTCTTCCTTGGTTTCCCCCTGGACTCGTCTGACTGGCTCTTCTACCACCCGCAGTCTCACCGCTTCCTCCACTCTCGTGACGTCACCTTTTATGAGTCTGTCTCCTTCTACCGT